TCGACATTGTTAAATCCTGATCTTATCTTATACTATTCATTTGTACGGCCTCAAAGTAATTTTACATGTATAATTAGTTTATCAATTAGACATGAGAAGAGAGATACCGATGTGTTATCAAAATCAAAATGTCGAACAAAAACGGAACACCACGACTGCATTGTATACTAGATAAATAGGTATATTTATAAACAGTTAAAGTTATTATAAACATCCTTGACCGTAAATTTTCCAAATTAAAACCAACGATACGATGATGACAGTATGCTTCAATGACCAAAAATATTACGATTTGTTGTTTGCAATGTGTAAAACTTACAGACGTAACAAAATACTCAATGACGAAATGAAACATAGCATATAATCCTTCAAATAGTAAATGTCGGAAGAATAATCTTCACATGTAGTAATGCTTCTAACTGACATTAGCTTGGTCAATATTCTTAAGGCGCCTCAAAATGAAGAACAATATGCAAATACAAAATCTTCTTGCAATGATATTCGATATGGTGCTATTCTTAATATTGGACTGAAAGTAACCATATCTACCTCTTTGAAGAGCAGAAGATAAAAAAATTAAAAATCTAAAAACATAGAGATTATCACATGTTTGAAAATAAATACCCTGCCAAGTCCGGTGTGTGTTTATGTTTGATGTTTTTTTTCTGCTTTGTTTCGATCTGATGAGTTAAGCCCTTTTCAACTCATTTTTATAGTTTGTTCTTATGTTGTGCTGTTACACCACTGTCCCAGGTTAGGGGGAGGGTTGAGCCCTCATAAACATATTTAACCCCGCCACATTCTTTGTGTGCCTGTACATAGTTAGGAGCCTGTAGTTTAGTGGTTGTCGTTGGTTCATGTCTGTCATTAGGTATAAGAAGATGTGGTAAGAGCGCCAATGAGACAACTCTCCATCCAAGTCAAAATTTATAAAAGTAACCATTATAGGTCAAAGTACGGTCTTCAACACGGAGCCTTGGCTCACACCGAACAGCAAGCTATAAAGGGCCCCCAAACTTACTAGTGTAAAACCATTCAAACTGGAAAACCAACGGTCTAATCTATATAAAAAACGAGAAACGAAAAACACTTATGAACCACATCAAAAAACGACAACTACTGAACATCAGATTCCTGAATATTTGTTTTTCGTTAATTGTATTGTTACAAATTAGGCCGTTAGTTTTCTCAATTGAATTGTGTCATATTTTTCATGTCGGGGCCTTTTATAGCCGACTTAACGGTATGGGTTTTTCTCATTGTTGAAGGTCCTATGGTTGCCTATAATTACTTACATCCACTTAATTTGAACTTTGGTTTATAGTTGTCTCATTGGCAATCAAACATCATCTCCTTATTTTTATATACGTTTCCATGGAATTTAACTGTTTCAAAATAGGGATATTTTACTTGCTTAAGCCACATCACATGGGAACTTTCGGGGTTTCAAAATTTTCGAAAAATGTAATCACAACTGTAGATGTTTAAACATTTTATGGAAATATTACAAGCGGAGATCATGCTTTTGGTGGGAATTTAGGGACGCAACTTAAAGAAAGAAAGAATAACCTTTTTTACTTTCATTATATATTTTATATGTTATTTCATTATACCATTAATTAATTTAAAGACTTTATTTACATAAAGTCAATCATAAAAAGAAAACAAAATATACACAAATAGATGAAAAATTAATTAATGAAAAGTAAAATTGCAAATAATTATTTTATTCAAATTATAAAAAGTGTCTTCTTGGCTGCTTCAACTGCATTATGCATTGGTCATAGTTTAAATGCATAAGTCCATCGAAGACAGAAAAAAGATGTTAAAATTATTATTTACTAGTCATTGAAATGATCTTTGGGCAAGTGCGAAGTAAGAAACCTTATAAGAATACGTAATGTTCAAGTAACTGATTATTGACATGTTACATGTACATAGCTTTTAATTCTTTACCTAAACTCCCCCAACCAAATCGACATCAGATGGACTGTTATTATTTTGGTCATAAAGCGCCATACTTATTCAAGTAGATAAACCGCCATTGCTCTCAAAATTTCGGTTTTGAGCTTTCACGATGCAGGTAAATTAAGAAAATCGCTTTGAACGCACCAAATTTAAAAATTATAATTCTAGCTATACTTCCTAAATAGGAAAACATAGTTAGTAGTATAAGGACAGACATTACTGTGTTAACATCACATCATCAACATGAAAAATTTAACCAATCAGCAAAACATCAGTTTTTAAACGATGGCCTACTCTGACAACACTGTTGAGTCCTTTATACACGAAACTCAAGTCTGGCGTACACAATTGTAAGTCTGGTATCTTCGGTGAGTTTTAAGAACTATTTTTGAAGATATTGTTTTTCTTTGTGTTTAATCCCCTTAGCTGACTTTTCAGCTCTTGAATGATTTTCTTACTGTATTTTCACATTAAAGAACATTGGAGTTATATATCATTTTGCTTTATTTTTTATTCATAAATGGCGCGTGCATTAATCATATTCAAAAACTGGTTTGAAGAAATACCTTTTCCAAAACTTCAGATTAAAAAGAAATCTTCTAAAGTTTTATTCAAATCATAAGTAAACATTGCTATTATCTCATTGCTGCCATGAATTTCTTAATAGGAAACAATATACCATAGAACAATCCAAAACCAAGATTCGAAAAAACAAAGATAACACCATAACCAAAACAGAAAGGTGAAACAGACAAACTGTCCACAAATTCTACACCGAAATATAAAAAGGTACACTAACTACAAGTACGTTCGGATCTGTACTTCGATCTAAGGAATAAAGCCCTTTTCAACTGATTTTTATTGTTAGTTCTAATGTTGTGCTTTTACACTACTGTATCGGGTTAGAGAGGGTTGGATTGCCCGCAAACATGTTAAACCTCGACGCATTCTGTATGTGCCTGTCCCAAGTCAGGTGGCTATCGTTTGTTGTTATATCATTGTTTGTTTTTCGTTTTTTATTATTTTGTAAATAAAGCAGGCCGTATGTTTACTCGTTTGAATTATTTTACATTTGTCATTTCGTGGCCTTTGAGCTAGCTATGCAGTATGGGTTTTGCTCCTTGTTGAAGACCGCACGGTGACCTTTAGCTATAGTTGCTAAACTTCTACGTCTGTCATTTGGTAGAGATTTGTCTCATTGACAATCATACCATACTACCGGTTCAATATGTTTCTCCTTGTATATAAGCACAAACACAAATGCAGGAAAATTTGTATCAAAGGACTTTATTAGTAGTTGGTTTAAAAAAATAAAATATGAATTCTACCAAGAGAACTTGAGACCATTCCCGGTTTTGCAACATATTCTTTAGAATATTTAACGAGATTAAACTTCACAATTAACATGTCCAGCACTATTATAATTAAAATGCAACATCATTATTTATAGCTCGTTGATATCATGCGAAAGCTCGACGCAGGTCTATCTGATTTTAATTATGCCACCGATTTAGGAGCAAGGTCGTGTTGGCATTTTAAAATCACTTCAAAAGATAAAGAAATTCGATTTCGAAATCATATTTATACTGTATTTCAGTGGTAGATTTCATTAAATATCCTTACTTTAATTTTGGGTGGGAAATTAATGTCTTCCTGATATTAACAATAATCAAAGTGATTTCTAAGCATAAAGGAGCTAAATAATCACTATTCGCAGACGGCAATATTTTGGGCAACTACAAAACCTTCAATATACATCGGTTTAGTTTAAAATTATGAAAAAATGCCTGATCTAATAACAATACATTTATTCTGTTTAAGTGCATATAAATATCAGTCCCCACGATATATTTTACTTTTCGAGCTTTCTGTTTCATTTTTGAAGGTTTTTAAGAATTGTAATTTTCTGTTTCTCTGTTTCTGGTTTCGAATTATTGTACAGAAAATGACATTTTGTTTAATTCTAGCAAAATTTTGCAATGCTTGATGAAGGTAAATCCATAAAAGCGCTTCGGACGCATGAAATTTATAACGTGTTGTTTTCATTTTTTATTCTTGAGCTTTGATCTCAATTTAACGACAATTGCACCGTACGAATTTGTACAACCGGGCAAACAAAAAGTACTGATAATAAGCTTTCGATTGATATATAATAAAGCCTAGTGTTAGGTTGGTGCATTAAAGTCCTTAACTAAGAGTCTGTTTGGAAAATGTCAATCGCATATTGTGGAGTATTCCTATAGCTCAGTTGGAAGAGAGGTGACTTACTCTACCATGAGTTCCAGGTTACAACACCTGTTGGTAAAGTGGTAAGTTTTGGAAGTAGAACAATGCTCTGGTTTTATTTTACGCTCAAACTAAAATAAGACACGCATTGATTAAAGAGAGATTTAAGAGTGTTAAAGAATTTAGCAAGGTGTGCCGTTGAATATCGTCATTACACGTTCGAGGTGGATGAAGTGAAATATAGTTATGCCCCTGACCTAGTTTATGTATAACCACCACAGCTTTTATTTGACATCCGATGAATTAATTTTAACTGAAATTACGGAAAATGGGGAATGGACATTTAAACCTTTGTAAATTAACGTTTCTAAATTATATTTTTTTTAAAAATTTATTTGTGATTATTTTTTACCAACTAACACTTATTCAATCTTTTAAAATTAATTAAATGATTGTGTACAATTTGGTACATAGAATGAAACTATAACCAAAACAATATATCAGCAATACAATTGAAAAAAGAGAGATTTTAGTCATGAATCATATTCTATTATGCAATGTTCGAGAGTGGCCATTGTGTTGGATGTACATAGATCAAGATTTGTGCTACATGCTCGTAAGAGTCTCTAGATTAATATTCCCCTGTGGTCCTTTTCACAAAAAGTGTGCCAATTAATTTTTAAATGATAAGCTGCAAATTAACAGTTTATTTGCAGCATACACAGTTACCTTTAAGTTAACAAGTTCAAAATAGGCATCATAGGTAATATTTTGAACAACTGAAAAAAAAACCAACACCAAAATGTTCATGTTTTTACTTTGTAAACATCAGCTTTAAATCCTTTTGCTACATTGGAACCGTCTGCTGCGAACGCAATTAGCATATATTGTCCAGTTGAATTATGTACTCGAATACCCGACAGAGATCCAGTGTAATCTGCTAACGTATTATTGTTGCTATATCTACCATCGTAAACCTGTTAAAAGAAAAATGACTTTTCATAACATGAACAATGAAATATTAAAATTTCAATACGTCTATTATTTAATCCTGATACATTATCCAATAGAAAAAAGTTCGTGTTTATCCCTTACCATTGCCGAATATGAAGTGTTTCCAAAAATAATTCTATGACCATAAGTTTGGAAAGCATAAAATCAAATAGTAAATAAGAATAACAACAAAGAAGAGACTTTACAGATTCTGTATCGCTAATCTGGTCTATGTGCATCTTCCACAATGAACACTGTGTAACTTTTGGGACTAGAAGAGAATTCATGACAAAAATCTCTTGTTTGTTAATCTGGTATTGCTGATAATTTTTCTGTAACAGTTTCTCTCTATCTTCTTACGGTTCTTGTCCAATATACAAAAAAAGTAGAAAAAAATTCCTTTAAGGTAGATGGGGTGTCTAAATTATAATCCATAGAATTTTTTAATAATTTGCCAAAATGTAGTTTATATCATGCTTTTTTGAAAAAAATAATAAAAAGAATGGGTCACGGGGCTTATTTTCACGCTACAGGTTGTGCAAAATTGACAGATTTTGTATAGATTATGCATGGAAAACGCAATTTCCGGCCATAAAACGAAAACTACACCATAGGATTTTGAGATAAAATATGAGAAGATAGCTCTAATATTATACTTTCAGATAATAAAAAGAAAAAATGGGGTCACCGGGCCCGTTTTCTTGCTACATAATAAAATAGATAAATTCCTAACACATTCTATTGTAAAAGTCACTTTATCTGAATTATCTGCCCTTACATTTGAGTTGCCTCCCCTTATGTGGCAAAGTTGGAAAAAATTGAATCAAACAAAAGTATTCTGTTTTTTGTAAAATACAACCATAAATATAATAAAACGTGTCATTTTCTATATTAAAATGAAAATTCTTACACATGAATTACCCACTACTCTCAAAATTTGCACATTTTATTAAAGGTCTAGACCGATTATTTTCTGGTATTTCAAAATCCAAGATGGAGGAAGACACCCTATCTACCTTAAGGGCAATCAGAATTCTTTTTCTGAAACGGTCATTTTAATCTTAACACCTCTTAAATGAGTGAACAATAAATGAAAAGATCATTTTCAGTCTTTCAGTCAATTTTCAAACTTATCCACCGCAGTAAGTTTAGACGATTCGCTTGCAGTCAATTAAGATCTGTTCAGACTATCATCAAACTGTTCAGTAGTTGTTATTTATCTGTATGCATGAACATCATACTAAAACTCTGAAAAACTACCGCACAGTACTGCATTGACTGTAGGCGAATTCTCTGAACACTACTGAATTTACCGCAATGGATAAGTCCGGAAATTGACTGAAAGACTGAAGAAATCTAAATAATTTATTGTACAGACTTTTTACAGGATGTTAAAAAAATGACCGTTTCAGATTTATATTTATTTAATAGTGAGGGAAATAACTGATATAAGAAGTCATCTGATAGTTTTTGATGTAAATGAACAATAGTTAAATCTCAACATTCTGAACATTCTGAACCAAGACATATTTTTCTATTTATCGCGTTTTTCAAGATAAGAGACACCAATTGCATTTAAATTCTATGTTCTATTTTAGCCATGTCGGTCATGTTGGCTGACAGGCCGGGTCATTGGACACATTTTTAAAACTAAATACCATAATGATGATTTCGGACAAGAATGGTTAAATTTGGCCGAGTAATTTCAGTGAAAAAGGAGTGCAAACATCGAAACCAGATCTGTGGACAGGTCTGTAATTTGACCGGTTCTTAGGATATGTCAGCTTCTGACTAGTCTTGTGTACAGGTCTGCCTTTGACAGATCGTGTGTTTTGCACTTTTTCTTTAAGACCTGATCTTTGAAACGATAATCGCATTGTTCTATTTCACAGCACAGTAAAATTATATACTCGTTATATAAATATATTCAATATTTTTCTCGCTCATGAACATTCTTGTAATAATAATATATTATATATATAGCACGCCTATAAAGAATTAGCGCTTCCAGGTTCGGAATTTTCTCGCTGCGTTGAAGACACATTGGTGGCCTTCGGCTGTTTCCGCTCTTTGGTCGAATTTGTTTCTATGGCATATTCCCTGTTTTCGTTCTCAATTCTACTGATGCAAGAAAGCATAGTTTTCAGTGCATTTATTATACTAATATTAGAGGCTGGGTGGTTCCCTTTACTAGCTTAAATCTACGGCATTTGAACTCTGATGGATACTTGCATAATTGGCAATCATACCAATTTCCATATTTTTATAATTAGTACGGATTGGTTATAACTCATTTGTAATATTAATGGGCGATTAATGTGGACCAAAAAGGAATTACAAAATAGCAATAATCCATCTTAGGTCAACTTTGCTTTAGGGAGTTGGAACCTTAGATTCTTGATAATTTATAAATTTATAAACGGAAAAGTTTAGATGTGTAAGAACCGAAACAGTTTTAGACCAAAAAAGAAACTTAAAAATAGCCTTATCCAGAAATTTGCATGAGAGAGTTGAGACCTTAGTTTCTTAATAGTATCTAAATTCATAAACGGACAATTTTAGAAAGGTATATTATAAATCACGTCAGTACCGAGGTACTGACTACGAGGCTGATGATACCCCCGGGGTCCGATAGTCCACCCGCAGGATAAAGTCTTATTTCGGGTAAGAGATTATCCAAGCATTAGAAGAAAAAAAATGTATATATTAAATTGTGATAGTTAGAGCATTTAAAAGATTTTCATTCCTCATTTTGTACAGCCCCCTTCACAGGAAAAACTACTCATCTAAGCTAAAAATACCAGTTTTTATTTATTTTGTACGCCTGACGCGCGTTTTTTCTACATAAGACTCATTAAAAGCGCACGAATTAAAAAGGCCAATTCAAATACGAAGTTGTATATGTTGTAGAGCTTTCTTAACTGAAAATTCCAAAAAAGTTGTACAAAGTTGTGTCAATGGAATGTTCAGAAGAAAGTTGAATAGTACCAGGATTTGTAATATTCTGTAGGATTTTGTAAAGCACTTTTGAACCTTTTTGACCAATTTCGGCTCTTCAAGGCGTATCTGGTGCAAAATTAAAAACAAATTGATATTAGAATTTTCCTGACATAGCACGTCTACTGACCAGTGCATAAAAAAGGAAAAACAAAAACGAAATACTTTAAAGTAAGTGATTGTTAGATGGAAGGGGCATCTCACCGAGCAAAGGAGAAAGAATTAATAATAAGAAGACCCCGGAACATTCAACACACTGGGGATAATATGTCAGTCTTGTTTCGATGTATAAGTCTAAAGATTTAATCTAAAGTTTTAAGATTCATATAAAGGATACTGCAGATGCTTGAAGGTATCTAGATTTCTCTCTTGAAATATTTACTACATGTAATACAAAGATATAATTTTAAATATTCCAAATCGTTGACGATAAGTCGTCTTGACTGATTCTTTTACATGCGTGAATGTTGATATTTACGTACTATATTAACAGGATTGTGCTACAAACAAAAAAAAACTCTTCCATTGGTTATAATGAAGTCCAGTTGAAAGAAACAGAAATTTTACTTTCGCCGACACGAATTTAGAATAGAGAATGGAAACGGGGAATGTGTCAAAGAGACAACAACCTGACCAAAGACAGAAAACAGCCAAATGGGTTTTCAATTTGTCGATTTATACTATGTCTCTCTGCTGTGTCTTCATTCATGATATTCACTTTCTGGTGGTCTCAATTTCAAACACACTGGAATTATAGTCGTTTAATTCTGATTTTTTTACAGATTTTGTCCTATTCCCTAGTGTTGCATATTTGACTGAGCATGGAATGGCGTGTCAGATGATGCATGCATAAACGGAGACGCTTACCTTACAATTGTTTTGCGTAATTTGGTAATCATTTAGTTTCTTCAGGTTTTGTCTTCTGGTTGAGAAATTTTGTTTAAAAAATTTATTTACGACATCTGAATATCATTGAACAACTGTTGGTTTTTATTTTCTATCATTTAAATCTTAAACACTTTAGCGAAACTGTTTTCCCGGAAAACTGCTTATATATGTAAGCCTCAAATCTATGTCCGGCCTCAAATCTATGTCCTTTCCGCAAATCTATGTCCTTTTTAATATTGCGTCATAGACGTTCCAAATTTATATCCTTCATTGTCGCAAACCTATGTCTTTTATTGTCTCAAATCTATGTCCGTAGCGGGTTATTTTAAAGTGTGCACCACATTTTTTATTTTATTTCGAATAGACATAAAGGTGTAATACCACCAAATCATAGTACGTCACATCCGGTTGCATACGAAAATAGGTCGAAAAAAAATATTCCCTTGAATTTGACAGTTGTAGGTACTTGATCCTACATTTCATTGCAGTAAAACATTTCTGAGTCATAAACATATATCTTGGGTATTTCAAAGCACCATTATTTCTTTATTTGGGGTTTCTATAGAATATGTTGGAAACTTGAGGTTACATGGTTACTAAAGCTTGTACACAGGTTAAAAAAGGGGGAAAATTTGATTGGTTAACTTCCAGTGATGGTTATTTTCTTATATGCAATGAAATGTTATGTGAAATTTTTTCTATAGTACTGGACAGGATAAATCTTTACTCATGCCAAGTATTTCTTTATTTGAAACAAAGATAAATTCTGCACAATTTTTTGAAAAGTGCAAATTTAACAAAGACTAATAGGGGGAAATCAATGGTGGTATTACACCTAATATGGGAAGCTGTACATGCACCTTTGACCTTGTGAGTACTCTCATGTGTTAAAATTTCTTGCTATTTAAGTGAAATATTACAAATAATGAAATATTCTGAGTGGATTGAGTCTCCAAAATACATTTTATGAGAAAATTTCCTTGAAATAGGACTCTACCATGAATATTAGTTGACAGAACAAGCCATACTTAGAGTTTTGGGGAGCTTTTTCTCCTTATTTCTTATATTCTGCTATACTAGAAAATTTTTCTTAAGAAATACTTTAATAAATATATAGTTTTAAGTAAATGAAATTATTTTTAAAGCAGTAACAACAAATTATTCACCAAAAGAGAAGTTTTTTATGTCCCTCTCTGGAACGCGGCGTAAATTTAAGTTTTACGTAAGGACTTATTGAAACCTCCTTGGAGACAGTAAACTTTTATACGGATAGTTCATTCTGTTTGAATACTTCAATTAATCATTTATAATAACATTTCCATCATAAATGAGTGAAAGTTACCCCAAAATTTTTATTTATTGGCCTAAAAAGTAGAAATTTTGTGGAAATGAGAGGTATATATGGACCAAAAGAGACCTTATAAGGACGACAAATGGGTCCATTAGTAGTATTTATCATCCTAAAGTCATCTTTTGTATCATATTCAACTGTTTGTAGGCAGATGAGATAAATATTTGATCATTTATTGGTCCACACTATATTCTATTATGATGCGGCTTGGTTTGGATTTTTCGAAGAAATTTTGCTCAAATCGCTGTAGATGTCGTCTTACATTATACTAGATTTTTCTCAAACTATTGAACTGATTATGACAAAACTTGACAGGAATGCTTGAAATAACCAGTATTACAACGGAAAAAAGTCACATTCAGTTTATTTAACAAAAAAGTCTTCTTTAGGTGTAATACCACCAAATCATAGTACGTCACATCCGGTTGCATACGAAAATAGGTCGAAAAAAAATATTCCCTTGAATTTGACAGTTGTAGGTAATTGATCCTACATTTCATTGCAGTAAACATTTCTGAGTCATAAACATATATCTTGGGTATTTCAAAGCACCATTATTTCTTTATTTGGGGTTTCTATAGAATATTTTGGAAACTTGAGGTTACATGGTTACTAAAGCTTGTACACAGGTTAAAAAAGGGGGAAAATTTGATTGGTTAACTTCCAGTGATGGTTATTTTCTTATATGCAATGAAATGTTATGTGAAATTTTTTCTATAGTACTGGACAGGATAAATCTTTACTCATGCCAAGTATTTCTTTATTTGAAACAAAGATAAATTCTGCACAATTTTTTGAAAAGTGCAAATTTAACAAAGACTAATAGGGGGAAATCAATGGTGGTATTACACCTAAAAAATATTACAGTTGTTCCTTAATTTAATTCTAAATTCCATTTCAAGCCGGAGTAAATCATGAAAAAACGTTGATGACGTCACGGTCACATGACAAAATTATGTCTATGAGCTGATAGACAAAGCACTGCCACCAAATCGGAAGACGCGTTACACCCAAAATCAATTTATTCAAGTTAAAACATAGATAAAGTGGTATGAATGTCAATTAAACAGCTATATGGACGACAGACAAATAGTATGTTGATGCTGCAAAAAAATACTCAGTCTTTACTGTTTTTTAGTGAAAAAATTATGTGTAAATTCATTCTTGAAGGCACATTAATAAAGTAACATGTATGCTCGTTATGCCAATAATTTGTACACTGAATTATGTTGTGGTTGTTGAATGTTGATGTCATGATACATAATGGATTTTAAAAAATACATAGCTACGAAACTGGAATAGTTTCACCAGCATAAAACATTTTTAATAAGAAAGTGGCACAAAATGTCGTTGGTAAACACAATACATTATACCCTAAATATTTTCATGTGGTACCTATTCAATGAAACATTGAACAAAACGTTTGTTAATAGGTGTATGTGTGTATAGCTTACGAATAAGTTTAATTCATTGTTGATGCCGTACATGTATCTTTAGTAGCTTGTATACAGATGTCATTTTGTCTGAGGTTCTTAATTGACTCATATTTCGTATTTGTTATCAAGACGTAATGAGTAAAGGGAAGTAACGATAATTACTACAGAACAATTAAACACGGGATCAAGAAGAGCAAACAATTTAAAAATGTTGTAGTTTTACAATAAAATGTAAATCATACAATAATTACACACGCATGTCAAATTTTTAATCACACACATGGAGAACACATCCCAACTTAACATTGAATTATGGGAAATGACTTAATAAAACAAAAATCCTATAAGGCCGTATTTAGAGGGGCATAAATTTGCGCATGTCGAAACAAACTGATAAAAGATTTCAGAAAAGGACACAGATTTGAGGCCGTAATTTTTTTAACGGACATAGATTTGCAAATGATGTCATGATTAAAAACAAATTTGAAAACAGGACACACTTGAGACCGTATCTTTTTTAACGAACATAAATTAGCGATTAACGTCATGATGGGGCAAAGATTTGAGAAACGGACACAGATTTGAGGCCGTACACAGATCTGAGGTGTACATATATCCTATAATGTTCCTTCTTTCGCACATCTAATTCTTTGATAAACACCAAATTGAACAAAGCACCCAATTTCTGATGTTTCAAATCGCTTCATTAAAGCAAAAAAAATATATATATATACAAATACATGTTTGATTCTTACTGACAGACGCTTACGTTAAAATCGAAAAGATGAAACTATACCAATATACTTACTCGTACGTGGTCGCAACATGCTTCCGTATGAAAATCTCTAAATTTGATTCTGATAGTACTACCAATTCCGGCATCAAGGTTCCATGTTTGGTGAACACCATTTCCATATGAGGACGGATATCCAGAAGAGTAAATTGTTTTGAAATATGATACTAAAAAACAGAATACTTAAGTCAATTACATAAATTAAAAATATTTTAAAAAGGTAACAGTACTTGTGTTTTGAGCTATGCTATTTATGTGTAAATATGTATGACAGTGAATTGCACCAGAAAAAGATAAAAACAAAATCTATATTAATGCGCATTTGGGGCAGTAAATTTGGAGCCTATAATATATTTTTATTTCAGGTCACTTAGAGAAAAGTTAAGGCTGAGTGAAAAAAGGGGACGTTTTTACAAAATACAAAATCTTCGTTAAGAACGAGACCAAAACGATTTGAGTGGTCATGTTTAATTGTTGAAACGAATAGCTTTTAATTAACATAATTTTGCTTTTCATTCTAAAAGTTTAAAAATAAAATTGAAGTGCAAACACGGTAAGATCGTGTCATCTACTCAAGCCCTACTCACTCTATGAGTAGTAATTACATTTGTTGAAAACTGCTTCTTATAATTATCAATACAAATTGAAACCCCAAAACGAAAAGAAAACAATTGAATTGCCTGCGAAATCATATTTGTCTATAATTAACATAAAATAACGCCACTTCCAGTTTTAAACTTAAGTTACTTAATACAAAAATATACGATTTCTAGGCATTTTGTTGTGATATAAGAGAGATTCAAGATATTACTTTCGGCGACACAAGAAAGTCTATTTGCACTGATTTGGAAAGGCACTTTTTCGGTTTGCTTAAGGTTACTGCACCTTGTGGCAGAGGACTCATAAATCCAATCATTATCCGAGAAGGTTGTCTTTTATATACACATTTTAGGGGCAACAACTCTTGGAAGATGTCATTAGATTGTTTCATACCAAGAATTAGAAAATAACGAAAGAGGACAAAACAAAAAAAAAACTTCTTTTTTTCGGAGAAAGAATGGAAACTAAAAGATGTTTATTTAAGAAGGTCTAGTTTCAAAAGCACAATAACCGTTCGAAACCATATATAAAGTATCGTATCGACATCTTCTGAGGCAAAATACAAATTGAAGGAAAAACGAGGTGGCCGGAGAAAATAATATTTAAAGAAACTATTTGGATAACTATTGAAGATCCTCCCAAATTCCATTTTACATATGTTAGTAATTCAGGTTTGAATGATCTGTAAAACAAACATTAAGATTACACTGAATTCGAAACGTGTTGGTCGTTTAAATTTGTTTTAAAACGGTAAAAACTGCGAACTCTGGTTTATAAGACATTTTTAGTGTTAGATGATAGCTCATACTACACCGATTTTAAATATACAGTTAGAATTCCTTTTCATTTATATAAATACAGGTAATTTAGAAAATTTTTGAATTTACAATTACTAAAATTCGCCGATGTCCAATAATTACTATGGCTGATTCCAAAAATACATATGGAATTAGGGAGATAACTAGCAACTTCAGGTTAAAAGACTTCCACATCCAGTATCAAAAAGTAACTTACTTTAAACTGATTCTAAAATTCCTAATGTCCCCGCATTAGACCTCAAATGTTGAAGGTCGTTGTAAGTAGAGAAAATAAATTTTCTGTGGTTTAGATTTACAGATTGTCGACAAGATTAGAATATATATAAAACATTTTCGAATTTTTCTTTTTTTCTTTTCAATTAAATTCATCTCGGAATTTCCATTTGTTCTTGAAGATTTATTTTCTCCATCCTTTGAAAATAATCAATTGCAACCCCCTGCACTAATATTTAAAGTTACAAACATTTGTCTGTAGGGATCTATAAGGGGTATATTTTTAGAGATCTGTTTAAATGGGATATAAACTCACCAAAGATACTAGGCTTATAATTAGGTTCACCAGACACTAGTTTTGTCTACATACGACTCATTATTTGAAAAAAATAATTTACAGTCAAAATCTAGAAAAAAGAACACCGACCCTTTAACCCTTTTCCAAGTGATAACCAAATATTTTCAAATCAAAAGACTAAATGTTAGATATCGTTTTCCAACTATCAGTAGAATTTTATGTCCAACAGTTTAGCCAATCCCGGACAAGAAATCAGAGCTAGTTATGATTGAGATAAATTTTTAATTTAAAATTGCTTCATAAGATATATAATAGACTTTATTTTCATATAAAATTTCGATAAAACAATATAATACATTTTTTTCATACCAGTACATAAGTGTTGAGCTAGTAGACTGGTGATACCACCTGAGGACAGCCCAAAAGCACAGGTACCGATGTGAGTGGTAGCAATAACATTAACTTACCAATTTTACTGCACCAGTTGCGCATTTCGGCAATTAATTTCTCTTCAGTGATTATCCAAAACCTAATTTAAACTTGGAAGAACTGATTCAACCTTAAAGGACCAAACATACACAGATAAAATAGCAACGGACGTATCACGGATGAAGTACAATCGTCCGTAAAATATCTGCATCATGATTGCCAATGATACAACTGTCCACCAAAGTTCAAATGAAATGAAGTTAATTTCTAAGTACTAGACAATTAAATGAAAATAATAACGTTAATGGTACTGATTATATTGCACGAGATGCTCATATCGAACATTAATGTCTCTTCTGTGATGCTCAGGCCGATATATTTAAAAATCCAAACGTTGAAGACCTTAACAAACCAAAAAGGATACTAACATGAGGATAGAACATGTTGAAATAAAATAAAAAGAGTTTTGTTGCAGATATTTTGGGAAAACCGGAGTAAAAGAAAAGAGAATATTTTAATCACCAAATTAGGCCCCCAGAAGGCCATATAACACATATAAGATATCATTATAGATATGTGCAGAACAATAATATATTCCATCTAGATAGTAGACAAAAACACCCAAAAAAAACCAACATAATATTATAATGAAATTGATAGTATGTTGACATTGACCCAAATGCACTTTTTGAGTGTATTGTGACTATCAAATAACCAGAAGGCATTAGTAGTTGGTGCCGTAAGGAGAAATATCTACAGATGAGTAAAAAAAAACCTATTCGATTATGAAGTATACTGCAAATTGCATTTAATAATTGATATTATGACTCGTCTGCAGTAAGCACCAAGAATGTTCCGCCATTTTAGATTGTAAAATAGAAGAACACATTAGGTCTAGATTTTTATTAAATGCAGCAAATATCGATGCAGGTATGTAATATACTTAAAAGAAATGTCATTGGAATGGGAAAAATAATCATGTGATTTTAAGTTATACTTGTCTAGTAATTAATCATATTTTTTACAAAAGAAGAATATTTTTGCCTGATTTCTTTTCAATCTTTGCTTATTAAGGGGGGGGGGGAGTAACTCAGAAACAGCATAATTAAAACTGAAATATACAGAAAATCTGTATATTTTATGTTATAGCAGGAAAAAACGAACCGTGACTCCATTTATTTCTTTTAATATTCTGAAAGCATTTTATAAAAGCTATCTTTTCATATTTTATTTCAAAATTTAGTTAATCTTCTATTCACATTATGATGCTTTTTCTCTGTATAATCAATACAACATGTGTATTATTTTACAATCTGTAACTTGAAAACAATCTAGGTGACCTCTCATTTTAATATGTTTTTAAACATATGACAATATACACTCTAATTTTGTCAAAGTATGAACAAACATATCATTCTTTTATTATACTTCCATACCACCTGAAAGGGGAAATCACCGCTTGTACTTAATGCAGATCAGTCAAACTCATGTAACAAAACAATTTTGAAAGATAATAATACTATAAATATTATGTTATTCTATAAGTATCCCATACATTTTGTAATTATGCTTAATATTAATAGAAACGGTACAATCGTTCTCGTTAAAAAAAACTTTAAAAAAAAATAAAAAATAAAAAACAATTTTCATTTTAGTATCATCATTACATAACATATTTTACTTGTTACACGGTAATTCCTAAAATAATTAAACATACCTTCGCAGAGATCTCCATAGGTCTCGTTGCGGCAGTGACAAATATAACTATCGTTATTTGACAATATTCCACATAGTCCAGAATTTTTACAAGGATTCGGAGAACACGGTGAGACTAAAACAATTAAGTACCAATAAATGTAAGTTAATTGATTTTATGCTAAAAACTAAATTTATATCATTAAGTAATGACTATTCCATATTGAGTTATATCAAAACATCATTACGTAATGTCAAAAACATATTAAGTAAAGGCAAAATATCATCAAGTTATAATAAAACAACATAAAGTAATATCAGAGTTCCACATAAGACAGCTGTGGCGTTCCATAAAAATACAATACGAAAAATAAACGAATCAAGTTATAAATTCTTCTACTAAACTGGAATCTGCTTGTATTTAACGCTTCAAATTGTAGTAGTAAGTATCATTTATCAACACCTTAAGAAGCACAATCATCCTATTAAATATTTAGCAGTTCAACCTTTAGAAGTAGTAAATAAGCAGCCTGGTGAATCTCATTCAAAGTTTGTACGATCGCGGAAAATAATTGAATTAAATTGGATTAAAAAATTACAGTCTACCTTCTCGGTCTTAATGATAATATCATGGGAATTGGTAATATATCAAGAACCGATCCTGTTAACATTTTGGATATAGTTTCTAAAACTGTTCGTAAAAACCGTTCTCATGGTCGTAGAAAAAATCGCAATCAAAGAAAATTTCGGACCAATCATACCAATATTTCGGACCTAATTTCTATTTTAAAAAACAACGGCAGACATTATCTGTTAACAAAGCTCTGTTCATTACCGGTTAATAAGTTAAATAAAATTTTAGAGGATTGCAACACAATTTCATATAGCAGTCCTAAGTATGAAATCGTTCAAATTATAATGGCATATTGTTATTCTAAACTGTTTCCCAAAATTGATCGCCCTGAAGATCATAAAAAACAGTTTATTAAAATAAAGTATGTCAATAAAGGTTATGATTTTGTAAATATTGCCGGTATTTTTAACGACCATTCTGTTAAAGAACAAATTCCGGGATATTTTGATAATACTGAGCTCCCTCTTATTTGTTATATTCACAAGAAATCTACCCGGAAATTTGTGTTTAATTATAGCAAATTGTGTAAAGATGTTAATATCAGTGAAAATACACCTACTTCATGTAATTGCAGTAATTCCGAATACATTTATGGACCCATTTCCCATGTTATAACAGGAGATCTTAACATCGTTCAAGACCGAGAGTTAAAATCATTCCTCAGTAAAGGACCTAAATATCGTCCCCCGTCAATTATTAATTGGAATGAGTGTCGTAATATCATCCACGACTCACTCCATACTTACTGTTTGAAATGGATAAAACGGGAAAAAGCTGACAAAAAATCTTTGGACTCTTTTTTTAAATCAGTAATGAACATAGTTGATATACGTATTCAACATTTTAAAGATCATTTTACTCTTAACAATAACCACAATAAACCTATTTCTCGTATCAAACATAAACTAAAAGAACTAGCCAAGGAATTTGTTTTTGTCCCGGCCGATAAAGCTGCTAATAATATTATTATTGTTTGACGTAAATTTTACATTGAGGTTCTGAAAAAAGAAATCACCAATTCACCAACATTCCAACTGACTCCATTTTCAGAAAACGACATCTGTAACAAACATAAACTTTTAGCTACCGCTTTATAAGCAGAACCAAATACAATGAAAGTCCCAACTATGTATTGGCTTCCGAAGCTACACAAAACACCTTACAAATATAGATTCATTTCGTCTTCAAGCCATTGTTCCACTACTAAATTGTCTATTCTTCTTACCAGTACACTTGGTACAATCAAAAACCTGATAATAAATTGTTCAAATAAGGCCTTCGAAAATAGTGGAATTAATTACTTTTGGAGTGTCAAGAACTCGTTGGAAGTACTTGATAAATTGCATGCATATATTGGTGATTTGAATCTGTTCAAAGTTTTGATTTTTCTACCCTATAAACCACATTGCCTCACATTCTCATTAAGAAAAAATTCACACACCTAATTAAATGGGCATTTAAAAAGTCAGAATGTGAATATATATGTTCAAACTCTTTTAGGTCATTTTTTAGTAGCAATAAACAAAAAACTATGTCAATTGGACATGCTTTGATACTATATATGCCCTTGAATTTTTACTAAATAACATGTTTGTTCACTTTGGAAATTCCGTATATCGTCAGGTTATCGGAATTCCAATGGGGACTAACTGTGCACCACTTATTGCGGACCTTTTTTTGTATTGCTATGAGTTACAATTTATGACAAAAATCAACAAATTTAATAATACTTTTAGATATTTGGATGATATTTTGGCTCTCAATAATGACGACTTCAGTATGTATACTAAAGAAATTTATCCTGTTGAACTTACTTTAAATAAAGCTAATACTAACAATGACCACTGCCCTTTCCTCGATCTTGATATCTATATCATTAACGGAAAGCTTAATACTAAAATATATGATAAAAGAGATGATTTTTCATTTCCTATCGTTAATTATCCATTTTTAGATGGTGACGTTCCCTTGTCACCATCTTACGGTGTTTATATATCTCAACTTGTACGATTCGCTCGTGTATGTAACAATGTTTTAGATTTTAACGAGAGAAATTTATGTATTACTGAAAAATTATTACACCAGGGTTTTCGATATCACAAACTAGTCAAAACATTTACTAAATTTTATCATCGGTATAAGGACATCATTCGTAAATATAGCTCAACATGCAGACTTCTTATACGTTCAGGTATTTCACATCCAATTTTTTATGGAAATATTCTTTATAAAGCACAAAAATGTCAGTATTCACCTCTGAAGCTAAAAAAAACCTTAAAATAGACTTATTAAGAAGGGATATAGTTACGATACTGTTGTCAGGTCATTAAAGATTGCATATTTTGGCGTTAATACTGTTTCACTTATAGGGTCTTTGCATCGGCACTAAACACATATATTTAAAAACCAGTTGTAGGCATGACACGGGTTATGTTCTTCTCATATATGTTATGATGGTATGATACTAAACCCCTAACGGGAAGGATTGTGCCTGATATTCATATGATGAAGACATAATCTTTCAATCAGTTTAATTGAAGTCTGGAGCTGGCATGTCAGTTAACTGCTAGTAGTCTGTTGTTATTTATATATTATTGTCATTTTGTTTATTTTCTTTGGTTACATCTTCTGACATCAGACTCGGACTTCTCTTGAACTGAATTTTAATGTGCGTATTGTTATGCGTTTACTTTTCTACATTGGCTAGAGGTATAGGGGGAGGGTTGAGATCTCATAAACATGTTTAACCCCGCCGCATTTTTGCGCCTGTCCCAAGTCAGGAGCCTCTAGCCTTTGTCAGTCTTGTATAATTTTTAATTTTAGTTTCTTGTGTACAATTTGGAGTTTAGTATGGCGTTCATTATCACTGAACTAGTATATATATTTGTTTAGGGGCCAGCTGAAGGACGCCTCCGGGTGCGGGAATTTCTCGCTGCATTGAAGACCTGTTGGTGACCTTCTGCTGTTGTCTGTTCTATGGTCGGGTTGTTGTCTCTTTGACACATTCCCCATTTCCATTCTCAATTTTATTATCTTCGTAGCTTATTCTTCTACCACCATACCTCGTTAACTACAATGGTTATTCACTTTGGATAGTTTAATGTTCGGGAATTTACGTAAAGCATCATAGAGTAACAACGAATGGTTTGCAAATTGTATAATTTATTACCAAAAAGTAACTTTCGCGTGCTCATGAGGAAGCACCTGCCTCAAATTAGAGTGTTAATCATATAATTAGCGAAGCTAATATGCCTTTCTTCATGTTTCTATCGATATATGTCTGTAAATATATCATCTTTAAAGCAACCTCGTAGTATTTTTGTCCATCACGGCGAAGGGATTTAACAAGAGTACTAATGATCGGGTTCAGAACAGATACAATAACAACATAGAGACGTCCTGAAAAACGTCATAACACACATTTTACCTCCGTACTTGACCTATCTCATATATAAATTAACTTCTTCGATTTGTCCTGTTTTCGAAAAAAAAAATTTATCGAGCCACTTTCTTGTAAATGTGTCTGTAGTGCTGTTTAAGATATCAATGAACGTAAAAGAGAGGCGCAAGATACCAAAGGGACATAATCTTCATAGAGATTTTAAATTAAAATACGATATATACAAGCGTAATAGGGTTTCGAATAAACTTATTCTTAAAGACTGTCAATTTTACTTGATATATCACATCTTTAAATATTGTCTTTCTATTTACTTACGTTGATTTCATTTTCTAACAAAAACAACACTAAACATGTATTGCTATCCAGGTATTAACATTTATGGCCATTCATGAAGTTGATACTATTACATTTTGTATGTTGGCTTTGCAAAAGAGATTTTCTCTTCAGACTGCGTATGCTATCTTGACCCTAAATTGTCGGATGTCTACTGTGAAATTGTGCCTTGAACTAGCGTTCAAAAATTTGCTTTTTTTTTGCTTTTTTTTTGTGCTTACTACAATTCTAATGAGTTAACCGATTTCAAATTGATTTTTTTGCAGTTTGTTCTTATGTTGTGTTTTTTCTACCACTGTCACAGGATAGGCGAAGTTTGGGTGTGTTTACAAACATTTTAAAGCCCTCCCAATTATGAACGTACCTGTTCTAATCCAGGAGCCTGAAATTCAGTAGTTGTAGTCGGGGTCTGTGTGTCATAATTGTTTTTCATTTATTAAAAGTATTATCAACTTGTTAGCTTTCTCATTTGATGACTAGTCATAGCAAGGTCTTTTATAAATGACTTAACGGTTCGAATTTTGGTCCTTGTTGAAACCTGTTATGGTGAGTGGTAATTGTTCACACCTTTATTTAAGAAAGGGAGACACAGGATTGTCAATAATGGAGATATCCACCAGAAATCAAATGATGTGAAGATAAGTAACTACAGGTCACCCAACGGCATTCAGCAATAAGCAAAACACATATCGCATTATAAGCTATTACATCCCCCGACATGACTAAATGTAAAACAATTCGTACTAGAAAACTGGCGGCCTGATTTATGATAGAACATTTTACAATAAACAAAACAATGACAGACACCAACCAACTTGAGGAAAAAGACGCAATTATATGTTCCTGGTTTTAATTGGCACATACATAATACGGCGGAGGTAAATATGTTTCTTCCCGCTGATCTCGGACAGTGTTGTAACACAGCATAAGAATAAACAGTCCAATATCAGTTGAAAAGGATTGAGTTACTATATCGTCATTATGCACAAAAAATAGCTAACAAAAACTCAAAAGGCGTATAGTAACGACTTTTTTTTTGGTCTTAATTGATAATTGACCTATTGCAAATTACACCATGTCTCTATATTTTTGTATATATCTATGAGACAGAAACCCAACACCAATAATTCAACAAGACATTTTAAGGTCATGTTACTGTCATTAAAACTTGCAAACAACATTACTTTCAATGAGACTTTAAAAAAATGTTAATTTACTCCCGATATAAATATTGCAATTAATGTAATAAATTAAATGATATCTCACATACCTTCACAATGTTCGCCTTGAAATCCACTCGGGCACTGACAAGTGTAGCTGTAATTGCTTGTCCGTATCAAACAAGAGCCTAAGTTCAAACAAGGGTTAGAGGAACACGGTGTAACTGTCAAATATGAAAAGAACTTGCATTGAATCTAAATATAATGAATAAGAGAATACGTAAAGATAAACGTGAAAGATTAGATATTAAACGAATAAGTATGAGAACTCCTGATACACTAGAAGTCGGTTATATATAAAAACTACATTGATGTTAATATTCTTTTTTATATTTCATTACAGTTTTACTTTTTTTATGACAATGTCATTTGCATTGTCTTAAATGCCACCGTAATTCAAACTTCAACTATTCAATTGATTGGAAACTGTTACGCATTCATAACGTTTTGAACAACGAGGCAGCTAACCCGATGCCATTTTGTTTTAAACTTTGATAAACGTGCCTGGAAGTTTTTTTAAAGATATAGGGTAGGCTACTTTTACCCAAGGGAAATAATATTTTCCCTAGCTTTTTCGGAACTCATCTCTTCTTTTTATTCAGCTCAGACAACTCGAAGAGTTGTTCACCAAAAGTCAGGGGAAAATTATCTACCCTTGATAAAACTTCTGATCACATAAATCTAAGTTTGAAACAAAATGGCATCAAGTCTTGTTATTTTTAAGTATTGCTAGTAACATGAGGGATACTTTTAGGATGGATAAATTCATACAAAACCAGCTAAGAGAAGCTTTGTAGTATTCAGTGTGTGGTAGAACAATAGAAAATTAAATATTCAGTGCAAATGCAAACATTGAACAAAATATCCAAACTCGTTCCAAAACGCCGATATGAAATTTGCTTTATTTGGACATCATTTTAAATCAAGACGTGTATTCACCTCATCTCTGATTCTTTGTCCAGGTTTGGCATTATTGTTGGTCCTTTTGGTTTGTTCAGTCCTTACAAAATTTGTATGAGGTTTTTGGTCGTTACATGTTTTGGTCTCGGGCATTACCGAAGAGACACATATTGCCAACATACACATCTGGTACAGTTAAATCTGTACCCGTTAAAGCGATTGAAAATGAGTTACAACCTTACGGTAAAGAGAAAGGCGAATACGCCTTATATATTTAATTGTGTTTAAGTGGATTGCTACGTACTTTAAAGATATAAAACAAAAGCGAATTATACTTCATCTCGCTTCAAATTTCATTTATTCTATATTTCAAAGTTAAATGGTGATATAAAACATTTAAAATACACATTTCTAGAAAGTAAAATATAAAATGTATTGGGCCTGTCAAATACCTTTGTAACGAGTCATCATAGCAGAGTTGGTTCTTTTTAATAACAAAATTAAAGAACCTTAGTGAGCGCGCTCACATACCCCACGTCCCCACATTGTCATTGGAGAAATAAAATAAGTGTAAGAAAAAAAAATTGAATCATAATTTCCTGTCAATATGCACATCTAGATAGTATGTCCTTATTATCTACAAAGTTTCATGAAATTTTGTGGTGTGGTTTCAGAGGAGTTGCGATGACAAACTGTTGCAGTAGTACATTGAAGCAAATAAGTTCAAAGGGGCGTAACTCCTAGAAAAAAATTGAATCGTAATTTCCTGTCGATATGCACATCTACATAGTATGTCCTTATTATCTACAAAGTTTCATGAAATTTTGTGGTGTGGTTTCAGAGGAGTTGCGATGACAAACTGTTGCAGTAGTACATTGAAGCAAATAAGTTCAAAGGGGCGTAACTCCTAGAAAAAAAATGAATCGTAATTTCCTGTCGATATGCACAACTACATAGTATGTCCTTATTATCTGAAAAGGTTTCATGAAATTCTGTTGTGTGGTTTGAGAGGAGTTGCGATAACAAGAAACAGGACTGACGGACTGACGGACGGACGGACGAACGGACGAACAGACGGACAGACAGACGGACGGACGGGTCAAAACATTATACCCTTCGCAAAAAATTTGCGTGGGGTATAATAACCTTGTGCTACTGTATATATTGAAATTTTAAACACAATTCTTATTCATGAAGTTATTATATTTTCTTTGAAACATTACCAAAAGGAAATGAAGTCATATTGTTTATCTTATTTATGAAAATGTAAATAAAAAAGACGTCCGACGAGCCATTCACTCACATTCCTTTTGTTTTTCTGGCAAAACATTTAGATGGCAGACTCTACTTCTGGATCTTGAAAATGCATAACTTGAATAAAAGTTTCAAACATTTGGATGTTATCTGTGATCTTCAATTTCTACAAATTTCTATTCTGCTCTCATGCGAAATACTTTTATACACATTTTTTCGTGTTATATTTTTTCACTTTCAAAATTCGCCTTGACAACCAATCACAAATGAATTTTCTTTGAAAAAACAAACAAATCATAGCTAATATGGTAGCCCTTCTGTGGTACATTTTAACAATGTCATTTAGTCAGGAGTTATCTGACGTGTGAGATCTACGACGGATACCTTATAAATTCAAGCACATTTACGTAATTCAACTAACACATGAAAAGTGCTAGAAAAACTAAATATATCTTTGTATGAAGTTACGGGAACAATTGCAGTCTTCCTTTGAAAGTGTTCTAGTTTATTCGAAGTTCAAGACACGATGTATCAAATGGTGTCCGAAAAAATAAAATACCTAAAATATATGACTGAAAATCACTACGTGATTGTTCATTTTTAAGGTTTACTGAATTATATTATGTCCCAAATGTACATTCGTCAAATATTTGTATGTAAACTGTTAAAAAATTCTGTGCGACAGGATCAATCTCTACAAGTTCATACTAATTTACCCATTCCATTTAAATGACACAGGAACGTGTAAACAAGATAGGAACGGGTTTTGAATATAGATTTCACAAGAAACCCGTAAATACATTAACCAAGTGTATCAATCACTAAAACAAAAGGTTATTGCAAGCAGTGCTACAGAGTTAAACGAAAAGTTTCAGTTAGGATTCTTAGACTGTGATAGATCAATTTTTATTACACCGGACGGAAATGAAATATTATTCCACCCATAAGACATCTTAAAAATTAGTTGTTAAACATATTTGAATGCAAGTTTATGCTGAAAATGATACTTTATTTGCTTTTGTAACGATTCCAGCATATAGAAATATATGCTTAGGAACAAAACCTATTTACTGCTTTTAAAGAAAACTTTCATAATAATTCGAGCAAATTTGTCAGAATTAATATAAGATAGTATTAAAGCTGCAAAGATATTTCATAAAGTGTATGAATTAAGCTTTTCATTCTATAAAGATACATCAAGTGTTAAACTTTATGTTTGTAGGCACCGTTTATTAGAAACATTTCATACCTTGACAAACGGTTCCTGAAAATCCAGATCTGCAATTACAAGCAACTGTACCATTTGTTGATGAACATCTGCCTCCATTCAAACATACCATTTTATCGCAAGGAGTAACTGCAATGAAAAATATATCATTAGAGAAACATTTATTAAAAAAACAATTGTTTGATATGAAAGGTCTTTATGCTACAAAAATACATAATGAGTAAGATGCTAACCAACAAAATCATTACAGCGGATATATTAAATTATAAATATACATTCTATAATTGACAATGTTTTTCCTCTTAATAAGTTAAGCTTTCGCGCATCATGCAAAATATGAAGATCATTTGCTTTTATTTCGTATAGATTTAAACAAAAAACCAGCATTTATTTTTATTACCGTATCACCATGGTGATACGGTCTGATTAGTCAGAGGCTGGACGTCTGGAATGTGGTTAATCTGTTAACGGTATCTCATTGGTTATAAATAACATTAAATGGCTGCATCTCAGCTGCTTCCGGGCTGCTTCTGGGGGAAGTGAAGGATATCTTAACGTCTGATTGGCTATTATTGAGTTGAATGCATTATATGTCAACGCGTCCGTAAGTGGGATCGGATAAAAATCATGATAGTAGGTCATCGGTAGAAACTATAATGAAGTGTTCAATTGCTATCATAATTTAAGCCAAATTTAGTTCACGAAGCCCTGTCAATTTGAGCAAATAATATCATTCTGTGATGATGAAATTGATGTTATCTTAAAATTTGTTGCAATTTTGGTACAAAGGTGTGTATTTATGGATTATTAAAAATAATTAATGTTCTTTCAAAAACAAAACAATAATACATCTAATCTTCACTTTATAGTGCGTATTGAAACATATTATATTTCTTCATAAACTATAATTTTAAATAGTAAATACACAAAACGTGTGCTCTATGATTAAAAATGTTATCCTCATATTTTTCGTTGCTTGAACATATTGGTTAGAAAATATTCAAATCACGGAATTTACCGCATTGATACGAAGATGTCCTTTCGTTTCCCCGCGCATTCACCGCTTCATTGATTTCTGATGTAAACAAAACAGACAATTGCCGATAAACAGTTGATTAGAAGAATAGAAAACAAACAAGGTGAGTAATATGGTTGCTTGTGTGCAAGGAAGCAAATACCAAGCATCACGGTTTAGTTATGGGCAGGGGTTTCAGTGCACTATAGTTTGTTTAATGACCCCTCTAGCTGGACGTCTACGACTATAGATAGATGAAATTAAAAAAGGCAGCAATGAGCAATTTGAATTAATATGCCTGAAAACCCAAGATACTTGCAACACAGCGAGGTCCCAAATGATGTTCGCATGTGGGGTAGACAGTTTAATGTACTCGTACATAATGATTTATTCTTTTAGAGTCGTTGTACACCCCAGGCGGATCCAAAGGGTGTAGGGGGGGGGGGGCTGTGGCCGCGCCTCCCCTTGGTTGATTATATAGGCCCCCCTTTATGAAAAGTCCTGGATCTGCCACTGTACACAGTGGCGCTCAGCAGTCATTGTTAATTGATATATTAACAGCACTGAGAACTGCATTTGACAAATGTTTGATATAGATAAATCCAATTCTAATTTGTTCACATTACAATGTACAATGTATCAGGTCTTACAATAAGTGTATTTCGTCGTGATGATAATTACTATTTGCTTTGATTCACATGCTCGAGATAATCAAGGTTTCCCATTTTCAGATGGTGCTGCTATTTTGCTAACCTTTTCAAATCTGAATGAGCTGATACTATATGTATAATCATCAATATACAATGGTGCTGAGTTTAATCTATCGGCTGTATTTGTATAAGTATTCGATATTGGCAGATCGAACTGACTATGTAAAGGCTCTAGTTTATGACTTGGATGCGTTAACAATGATGGTGGTTGATAAGGATATCCAGATCCAGGATGTTAATCCAAAACCGAACAGGTATTTTACGTACATGTATATATATTTGAATTCATCCTCCTGAACATAGTACCCATATATAATAACCGTACACCTAATCGCTTTATGGAATTCTGTCCCAGCTGACCTGAGAATCTGTCCCGCTTCAACCATTGACATCATACTACAATCACTTTTCCATTGTGGCGTCAGATATTTTGTATTATGACGTCAAAATTTTACGTGAACCTTTGTGATGGCCAGTAATTGCAGACAAATAGCAATAAGTAGGATTCAAAGCAATCTTTAATAAATCAACTCTAATGAAATATTCTTATATATATAGATGATCACATGACATCATGAACATAGACGTCGCTTTACTAGTGCCGAAAATAAAGTTTTCAAATGCATCTATTGAAAATAAATTATTGCATGTCTTTCATAAGTTCTGCTTTGGACATAACTGAAAAGCAGTGCCGAAATAATGGAAGCATACATTAAGGTAAATTTCTTTATTTTTCACATAGCATCTGACAGCATTGAATGATACGATATGAATCAGCAGATTTATCCTTGTTTTAGAAGTTCAACTAGAAGTTATATATTTTACTTAGTTGGGTGGGTAACATAACATTTATTTTGTCATTATAATATAAAAAAAGAAGATGTGGTATGATTGCCAATGAGACAACTCTCCAAAAAAAGACCAAAATGACACAGAAATAAACAACTATAGGTCACCTTATGGCCTTCAACAATGAGCAAAGCCTATACTGCATAGTCAGCTATAAAAGGCCCCGAAATAACAATGTAAAACAATTCAAACAAGAAAACCAACGGCATAATCTATGTTTGCTCATCATTCATCATGAAAACGATCACATTACAAATCATTTTAGGAAAGCACTGTGTAAGCAGACATTTCAGGAAGCAACAAGTCTGTAGGTTGACTGTATATTATCTGAACAAGTTCATTTCTTGTCAACTTCATAATTATTTCAAACATTTTAATAGATGTCATCCAAATTTGGTCTATTTCTTTTAGCTTAATATTCTTGCTTTTTCAAAGTCATGTTCATTTATTTTTCAACTGCGCCCAGAAATATGCGGTTGCCTTTAATTTCAGAAAAGGATTTAGGGTAAGGCAATCTGGGTCCCCCTTTTAAAACCTACATTTAATTTTAATGCAGACATATTACTTGTTCCAAACCAAACCTTGTCAAGTTTCGGGCCCCCGGGTACCCCTTCTTTCTATAATTCATCCTACATCTACTTTGTTGCTTATTTGTTATTTGGTCTATGAATATCTGTCTATATATTGACAAAAAAGTCAATGAAACCACATTTTGATGGTCCCACAAAAATGTTGATAAAGTGTACATTTCATTTTTTTTTTCTAGCTCCTCTCATATGATAGCAGTACCTTTTTGGTCACTATTCTGTGTTGCGTCCAAATATTAATTGTAACACTTTAAAGTGACCGAACAGGTAAAACAAATACTTCTCAAGAAACAGAAAAAGAAGACTACTTGGAACAGCACCAGACTATGTATGAATAAAAACTCAGATCGGAATAGCATGTATGATATATTTATACAGTTTGTACATCATTGTGAATAAGCAAGGAAAGCTACAATGTATTAATAATGGTGCATTTTTTTAAAGTTTATTGGGTTTTTTATTCATATTCTGTTCGAATTTTCACACAATCTGTCAAAAAGGCAAAACTAATTTTACTGAAACTTTCAAACAATATGAGAAGTGTTTCATTCACCAAAACACTCTTGCGATTCTGCAAAAAAAAAAATCATGCATGATTTTGTGAATGAAAGGGGAAAGAAGATCCTGACACAGTGCACCTGAGCATGTCAATTGCGAACTGACCCAATAATTTATATATCACGACCAGTCAACTGATACTGACATTATCAGAGAGTACACATCAAAGGAAAAATGCACAAATTACCGATAAATAGTTAAATATGATATCATAGAATTAAATATGTTTTATTACAAAAAAATGTGTTCTCAATCTTGTCGATAGATATAACAGAATGTCATATCAGTACCAAAGACAACTCTCCATCCAAGTCACAATTTGTAAAAGTAAACCATTATAGGTTGAAGTACGGTCTTCAACATGAAGCCTTGGTTCACACCAAACAGCAAGTTATATAGTCCATATCAATCATGACAATTAACATAAACAAACAAAACAACTATCGCTTACTAATAATCCTGACTATATGTATTACATGAACTTGTTGCCATCAGAAATGAAAATATATAAATATTCCAAATAACAAAAGCATATGCTTACACATGCAACCAAATATAAAGCACTAAATGATAATACCAATATGAAGCTCTCATCTATAGAACTTACAAAAAAAATGTCAAGATTACAAACCGCAACAAAGTAATAAAAAAATATAAGAAGCCAGCTGACAACATGTTCTAGAAAATTATTTGCAATTAATATTTCATTCCAAATCCATTACCACAAAACATCTTCTTACAGTTATACTTCATCTGGAAATTAGTAATAACAACACTTAACCTGTACCTTCAAAACTAATTGCTTCTTCTAAGACAAAAGCCAAATGAGATATTCATCACTTGAAGTGCTCCAGCTAGAAATAGAAAGGGGCAGGGTGCCAGTGAAGGGCAGGGCACTTTTTTATGATAGGAAAAGGCACTTCTCATTTTTTTTGTCTACGTTTCTGTGTGTATCACGAGTCCACTTTTTTTTTACTGTATATGTTGTTAATAAAGATGCATAAGTTGTTGTTTTGATTATTTACTCTATCAATTTTGCATTAGAAGAGTCATTCATACTACATGTTTATAAAACATGTCAATACACATTCATTCACCAGATCACTATTAACCAAAAGAAGCGAAATAAACTTACTATTCTCCCCCCCCCCCCTTTTGGAAAAAGGCGTCTGAGAGGGGCGCAATTGAAGGCACCCAGGGCATGGCTAAGGGCACACAGGGTGCGGCGCCCTTATAATTTGGGCTAAAGAGACCACTGTCTTCTATACATATAAGATGCAATATTCTCATGTTCGAACGGCCAACTATAGTAGTCAGAGGCGGATTTAGAGAGTTTTGGGACCCCCCCCCCACCTTTCGTGAGAAAACTTTGGTTGATCATATACATGTAGTGAATCACTGAAGCATGACTGAAGCTGGCCCCCTCTTATGAAAATTTCTAGATCTGCCACTGGTAGTCCATTTTGTCTAGCAGTAATCCTCAAAAGTAAATAATACGTTTTTCTTATCAACTTGATTATAACCTTGCTTACTATTATATAACTGTCAAGACACAGTATGCATGTTAAAACTACTTGCATTGTCATAAAGAGTAAACAATCATATTCCACAAAACAAACAAAAAAGTGTTTGTATCGTTACTTTAGCTATTACAAACCATATATAAATATTATCATATGTGACTATCAAGCCTCCTTCAATGATAACCCTGATTCACCAATACTACAACTAAAATCAAAAACCAGGAGAAAAAAGACACTATATATTCTAATGCTTGGAGTGCAAGATTCCAATAAAAAAAATCTATACCCACAAACCACCGATCTCAATACATGTATAAGCAGCTAAAATACGGCAAGCTTTTTAGAAAAGCTATTACTTGTAATAATATCAAAACATGTATAATGAGAGTAGTTAAATATAAAACTTTACTATATAATTAAAAGCTACTTTAGGTTCAATTTTAAACAAAAGTTATTAACATCGGAGTGGTTGAATAAATAGAAAGAAGAATTTTATTTTACCAAACATTGACAAGTGCCGTCCCAAGTCAGGGGCATGTACATGTAACAGAGTGGTAGTCGTTTTTTGCTGTTTCTCATATTTGTTTTTCGTTTATTGTTTTCCATAATTTGTTCTTGTGCTGTGCCGTTACACCACTGTAACAAGTTAGGAGAGGGTTGGCGCCTTCAAAAATATTTAACCCCGCCTCATTCTTTATGTGTCGGTCCCATGTCAGGATCCTGTAGTTCAGTGGTTGTCGTTGGTTCATGACTGTCATATTTGTTTTTCGTAAACAGTTTGTTATAAATTAGGCCGTTAGTTTTCTCAAATTGAATTTTTTCACATTTTTCATAACGGGGCCTTTTATAGCCGGCTATACGATATGGGGTTTTCTCATTGTTGAAGGCCGTACGGTTGCCTATATAGCTTACATCCACTTCATTTATACTTTAGTGGATAGTGGTCTCATTGGCAATCATACCACATCTACTTATTTTATAAATATTTTGTATTCGTTACAGGAATAAAATGTACATGTTTATTATTTAAAGGATCGTCTGATTAACTAAGAAAACGTCTTTCAAATAAGACTGCGTGGAAGTTTAAGGTATGAAAAAAGAAGCGGAGGATACTGAAGGCGAAATTAAAATTCATGAGTCGACGAGAGGAAAACAACGAAAAGACAAACAAGTCAACAATACAATACATAAAAAATACGGAGCAACACAAATCTAAAACAAACATGAATGATATCAGTGTAGGCCTATCCTGCTGCACATATATCATCCGTCGTACGCGTGTTGCTGATGGTAAGTACAAATTCAATGTTAAATGTCATTCAATGATGTCATCACGACAATTGGAACATATACATGGTCATCTGTGATTTTAACTTTACCACTAAGAATTTGAGGTTGATTTTCTTACTTATAACCTGCAGTCATTCATCAAGGTAATCATAATAAGTAACGCTTAGAATTTTGTGAAAGCTATGCTAAAAATCATGTCAGAACCGAATCACGGACTACTGAGACATTTTACACTCCAAAAAATATTGTGTCATTCTTATTATAATATGTTAAGTTCTTTAATAGTAGTCAGACAACTAGTATTTTTTTTCGAAAGTTTGAGTTGCTAATACATAGTTATTGGTCCCAAAAATTTGAAATTAGACATACCTGCAAATGAACTGCCTGTATGCAAACTAACAACACAAGGGATGGCTCCAAAAATAATTGATAATCAAGATGTAAATTGTAATTTGATTATGTATGTAAAGTTTAATATACCTTGACACCTGGAATCGGAATATCCTTTTGGACAAACACAAATGAAAGAACTGTTTACAACATAACAAACTCCACTGTTTAGACAAGGAGAGCTACTACACGGTGTCACTACAAAAACATACATTATTTTGAAACAGGTTAATGCATAAGTTTCATTCAATCTTACTATTATATTATTTATTTATGTATTTCTCTGTCTTTGGTGTTTTTGCATTTATTTGTACTCTGTTCCCGTCATGTAATGTTGTCTTTTTAGCGGTATATTTAACATTGCCATAAAACGCGGAGGTTTGGCTAGCCACAAAAGCATGTTCAACCCACCATATTTTCTTAAAATGTCCTGTACCAAGTCAGGAATATGGCAGTTGTTATTTAATAGTTCGTTTCTATGAATGTTGCATTGTTGTTTGTTTTTTGTTGCACTTCTGTGTTTACTCTTATAGTTGATGTGTTTCCCTCGGTTTTAGTTTGTAACCCGGATTTGTTTTCTCTGAATCGATTTATGACTTTTGGACAGCGGTATACTACTGTTGCCTTTATTTACATGATAATACATAAATGTATAAAATCAAGTGCGCTATTTATGTCCGTTTGATAACTTTTTCTGAAATTGGAATATTGGAATATAAAGTGTATACAATGTATATTCTAATTCTAATAGACTATTGTCATATTAGCGACTTTTGACTCCTGAGTTTATATTTTTTCGACAGGTTACCTACTATGTGGTAGGACATTCTTGTATTTGGTCAAGTAAGAGCAAATTAAATAAGAAAAACCTAGCTTACAATGGTACAATTTGGGGGGGGGGGGGATTAACTGTGTTATGTTTCTATACACGAGAAAATCATCGGAAAACAGTTATTTTTTCCACCAAATTGCACCGATTATATTTTTTATTTTACTTGTTTCACCGAGTACCAGGATGTCCTACCACAGAGTAGGGAACCGGTCGACAAATTCTATAATCCGAAGTCAAAAGTCGGTAATATGAAAAAAGTCTGTTAGATAAAGTTATTTTTTGATATCTGCAATGATTTACTGATTTCAAGTGACAAAAAACTACCCATATATTTATGTTGAAGACATTTTATCAAGCATGATGAAAATGAAGCCCTTTATTACTTCACGGAAGCAAGACAGCTAATGCTCAAAACTGGATTTAACCTTCGTTCGTGGATCTCAAATAATGAACAACTTAGAAACCAAGCCGCCATGAAGAGAATGTATTAGACACCGAAAAACAGACAATGCTTCTGTAAATGGGTTAGAACGTCGAAAATGATGAACTTACGTATGCAAAACGGACAATCGTACCAGCACAAGGAGAGAGAAAAAATACTACTCAACGTTAAATTTGGGAATCATTGAAAATTGGCGACCGGCTTGGATTATTAGTCCAGTTAAGAATGATATTTAACAACTTTTAAGAAAAGAGGTTACGAATAAGACGAACCCTACCACATACGATACAATTAGAAAGGATCCGTTTAGAACGATATAGAAACCGCTACAGAAAACACTTTTTCTCGGCACTATTTTGATGAGAGTACCGAGTACCGTTTAGCATACCTCTTTAAACCTCATTAAATGTTAAAATATAACACTATAGTCCGATAGTCAAATCGTATTACTGTGTCTAAAGACAAACAAAACGTTAAGTTTTAAATAGAATCAATGAAATGAAGAAATTAACTGACAATAGTAAATGGAGGTATTGCCCGACAAATTTCAATCCTGCTGATTTACTATCTCATGATATGACCACAAATCAGTTTAATGAGAGTAAACTATGGTGAAAGGACGGAATTTGATAGGTGATGAATCAAAATATACGAAAACGTTCATTGAGATAAATATAGCCTAATCCGTATTTACAGAGGAAGACAAAGACTCGTTAGATGAAGAAGAGAGCAAAATTTGCGAAAATGGTATTCTTCCGTTTGGAGCTGGATATAGATATTAACAAATAAACTTTTGCTAATGACAGCCTTTGTCCAACATTTATTTATAATTATAGACCGGTTAGTCTTTACGAATCATGGGGGCAATGAAACCAGATAAATTACGGCAATCAATAATATTATGGATACGGTGTTGTATAGTGATGGCAAACCAAGAAGAAATCCGTACATTGAAGTTAAAACAGACATGGAAAACTAAATTACCCTGACTTCGACATATTCAGTTATATTTAAATGAAAACGACACAATGAGATGCAAAGGAAGAAATCATAATGCGCCAATACCCGAATCAGCAAAACCCTTATCTTTTACCAGCAAATCACTGATTATCAGAACTTATCGTGTTGAACACTCACGACCTTTTTTTATATTCTGGACGAAAATCGGTCAAATATTTGAATTCCGTCGTTACGTCAATTCACTTGCAAATTACTCAATAGATGTACAGCATGCAGGAAAGTTCAAAAAACCATACAGAGCACCAGACCGTCTTCCGTTATATAGATAGTTCTGGAGCACTTTATATTAAGGAAAAGAACGGAACATATATCTATATTTATTTACCTGTGTATCGACAAGAGCCGTTAATTTAGAAGTAGTACCCGACATTACAGAAGAACCATTTTTGTTAGGATTTAGAAAATTTAGATTTACCACATGTAATGATGTTAGACAATGCTTAATCCTTTATTTCAGCATTGCAAGAGATAAAACAACTGTGTGAAACCCGGAAAATCAAAGAGGCCTTATCTACACATGGAGTAGAGTTGCGATTTATCCAAACCACTGCAGTGGTACGGGGATTGTGGGAGAGACTTATCACATTAACTTAAACGAATGTATATAAAATACTATGATGTGCATTGATAAACATGAATACGCTTCAAACACTAAATGCCGAACTAAAAAATATTTTAAATACCGGCCACTGACTTTCTACAGACATTTGTCATAGTGAACCATTAACACCTGCTCACCTTCTATATGGTCATTGGGAGAGAAAGTATTGTTGGACCTAACACAATGAACACTTCTGAAGCTTCAAAGCGTTCACACAGAATTTCATTAATTATTGGACAATTTTTGAAACCGTCGGAAGTCCGAATATTTAACGGTGCTTAGAAAGTTTAAAACAAAGAATGGGGAAAGAAACGTTTAAAGCTCTGTTTTCAAAAACGAGAAGCGTTTTATAGTTTTGAGACCATTGTTTTTGTACACGGCCGGTAGTTTGTTTCTCGAGAAAAAAGATTGTAGAAGAAGAAAATCAATGGGCTGAAGTTTTGCCTTTAAATCGTGAAAGATCCGTTATCAAATCGGAAGGCAGTTGGATTCAAATCAATTTCGAAATCTTCAATTTAAGCAGATGTATCATGAATTTATTCAAGACAGGTGAATTTAGTGTTACAAGAACTAATGTTTTATATATAACCTTGTAAAAAAATGTTATCAAAATATTTCAACATAATGACGTTGTTTTAAAAAGGTTTACCTATTCGTAACAAACGCATTATGTGTAAAACAGTATTTAGGTTATGCTTCTCAGGATAAAACTCGATATCTAAGTGATCTAGATATGTCGATCGGATCTTCATTAAAAGATGTAATCATGTGGTCTGCATAATTTTAAGAAAACGTTGAAAGCGGTATACCCTTGCGCTGTTCTTGTCTGAGAACCATCAGAAAACTATCAGGATGAATCAGGTTAAAACTTTAAATCACAACTGCCTTTTTGATTTACAGGTGAAAAAATATTCTATTTGGATATAGACGACTGCCAAGTGATTGCTATATCTGAAATCTGAACATCGGATCATGCTTGGCTTAGTTTCTACTCCCTTTTTAAACGCTTTATTAAATACCTACTTTCACAATTGTGACCAGTAAATCCTTTTGGGCATGAGCAGTTGTAGAATCTACCAACGTCAATGCACACACCATTATTAACACAGGGAGATGAACTACATGGTGTGTCTAGAAAAAAAAACTTTCCGTTTACAGTTTTCTCATAATCATTGGTTAACAAATGCAAATATAAATCAGACATCACAATGATACTTTTATATTATACAAATATATAAATTCCAAAAATATTGCAAGCTATAAATCACCCCAAAAAAAAGAAAGTAAATTTTACAGAGATTATAAAATACCATCAACACAAAATTATCAAAATTAAGATTTACTAAAACTTAACTTAGAACACGCTTACATGTTTTACCATGAAGTAGGATTTAGGATTAAAACAGTTTTTTTTTCAAAGAAATACAATAGAAATCAATACAGAAAGGGCACTTTGTTCTAAAATATAGGCATACCAGATAAAAACAAAACTGATGATTAAATAAAAAACAAAGAATGCGCCTAGTTACGTTGGGCAAGCTGAAAGAATTGAACCTGCTTTTACATGTATATAAAATGTTGTTAATAGGAAACTAGATATTAGGGTCTATATGATTATTAGGCCAATGTTTAAAAAAAAATCTAAATTCAAACTGCAACCGTTTCTCATTATATTACACCAGACTGAAACAAATGAAGGACATAACTACTTTTTTTCTTGAAAGTGCAAAAAAAAAGGGAAACCCATATCTAAAAGGGCTATTTCAACTACTTGCATATTCTAAAACAGACGTTATACCTACGCCCTGTTTGCCGCGGTGAAAGGGTCTTTTTGTTCACGAAAAATAAAACCTGCGGTTGTATCTTTTTTTTTAAATCTTATTAGTGTTTAAAATTGAAAAGTTATACGAGGAAGATGTTTCCTGTGAATTAAGAGGAAGTCGGTATAATCTTTATCATGTTTTTTTTTGTAGTCAGATTATCAAAGTTGCGTGAAATCGTATGGACCTTAATGAAAGAAAATGGGTACGAGTTGTCGGCGGGTGACATTTATAAAACACATTTAGTTAAAGATTTTCATGTATCCATCTACATGTAACATACGATCATATCATATGTCATTCAAAAAGTTTTTATCTGTATTTTATGGTTTGCTCGTCAATAATTCTTACGGTGCAATTTCCGATAAATAAAGTTCAAAGAACAGAAAGGACATTTCTAACTTTTGCTAGAATTTTAAACAAAATGTCTTTTGTTGGTTGTTGTATGACATTTTTTTCGTTAAAGTATTTATTGAAGTTTACAAAACAGAATTCAATAATTCCAAATTACATATAAATTAAAAAAATAATTGCGTATAAAAAAAAAGAATATTGCAATTACACCTCTAATCATGGTATTTTATTGTTTTTAAGTGTTTTATTGAAAGGGACTGAAAATGTTTTTGTGACAGATCGAATACCCTTCCTAAGCAGCGCAGATTATCTCCGCTTTTAGGTACACATTTGTTGATAGCTTATTGTTTGGCCGTCTTTTTTTGTTGTTGTTGCTTTTATCATGGTGTTTTCTGTGTTTGTTTGACCTATGGTTTGAAATTGTCTCCTTGGTATTTTTTCTTTTTCAACGCTAAATACAGCACACAATTGTTATATTTTCACTGATCCGCTATCAATCCATTTGACTTTAAAATTTGTAAGAAGCAATATCCTCTCCATATCTAGTGGTCAGCCATGCTTTTAAGTTATCTATCTATTTTACGATGGTCCTCATATTTATAAATAACATTTATATTTTGGTCATTTTTATCAGCGTAATAAGATCTTCACACTATTGGGAAATCAAAAGAACATTCTATATCTTGCAAAGCATTATGATGTGAATAATTGTTATTTAACTTATACTTTGGATAAAGAATTAGGGGAATCCTTTTTAATATTAATTTTGGAAAGGATCCTCTTTCAAATAAACTAATTGTAATTTGGCAAACAATTTATGTTTGTGACTTTTGTGGTTAGAAAAAAAAACGCAAATATAATAAACTTCATTCTTCAAAATATCAAAATGTAGAAAATTTCAAAAAAATCGCTGCTAGGTCAACAATCAATCAATTGTTGACGGGAAACAACAAACGACGTTGGTTGAGATGACATACAATCAATTCAAAACCATATTAAATTCAACCAGTAATGTGTTGTCAGGTATAGCCTATTTTTACCAAACGTTCTTGATGCTGATTGGTGGAATTGGCGATGTGACACCTACACTGTACTTTTCGTCTCTATTCTACAGTAACTAATTTCTTAATCATTTAGGAAGTCTAATTATAACTAGATTTGTTACAAAGGGCTAGAATTTTTAAATCTGAAAGTCAATGCGTCTACAAAATAGAGGAGGAAGAAACCAAATGGATATTCATACTCAAATGGCAGACAAACTAATTCCGCGATATTTGACAAAAACACGAAAAACGACCAAGAAACAAATAAAAGTCTACAAAAAATAAGTATAACAAAAATACCGAACTCCAAGGTAAAAAAAGATGATGTCTATAAAAACTGGCAAAATCAAACGTTTTTAGCCACGGAACGAGCAAAAAACAAATGTCATATTCCTGACTTGGCACAATCATTGGTACAATACACAACATAGAAAACTAAAAAAAACCGCGGATAATCTCAAGTGCTCCAACAGGGTAAGCAGACACTGCTCCACATGTCGTTGTGTTGCTTATGTATAACTTGTTGAATAAAATGACAAATTGAAACCTACCGCATACATTTTGTTTTTGTACATTAGATGTTTTATACAATTATCTATATAATTATATTATTAACCACATGGTTTCTAAAATATAAAAACCACATCTACTTAACGATGTCCATGCATTTAATCATGCTTCTGATGGTATATTTACGTTCTTTTTACATTTGAATTGTGCAATTCAAGCATTACCGAATTTGTTCGTATATACTCACTTTGAATACAGAATGTCCCATTCCAATGTGTTGTTTTGGAACAATGACATTCACCATGGTCACAATATAAAGAAGCACTACATTGGTCTGATGAGTTACACTGGTCAGTGTATTTCTTTTCTGAAAAACATTATAACGAAGACAGTTTAAATGGGCAACTTTTTTACTGACTTTTTTGACACACCTCTCTTAATCTATATTTACCATCTTCAAATATATTAAAATAAATACAATACAATACAAACTGAATAGTTCTTATGTAGTGAACACAATCCACTGTACCGTAGAGTCGTAGTGATTTAGAATTTTAGAATATTTAGTTTGTAATGACTATCCTTTTTCCATAGTGTTTCATTTTATGTTTGCCTATGTAGTATTTGTTATAGGAAACACAACCTGATATAAGATGTATTAGTAATTCAAACGTATGTAAATATATTTATTGAATTACGTATTGGTTGTGTTTGCCAATAAATATAGATACATGCACTGGCAAGATAAATTTCTACAGGTTGATGTACGGTCTTTACTGATGAACAAAAAGAATACTTCAGGGCAGATTCTTAATAAACCTAGAGACCTTGTTTAAAGTTCGTAAAATGAAAACACAAGGACATATTACTGGGAAACTGCTTTACTATACGTCTTTTGTAACGGACAAACACATGCAGTATTTTGAGGGACAACCTGCAAGAAAGAGGTAATCAGAAATTATAAACAGGTATATAATGCTTTCAATAAAAAAAAATCAAAATAAGCTCCGTTCGAGGCGTTTTTCAGGAATTAACTTCATCAGAAACACTTAAGCCAAAAACTTTGATGTAAAGAGATTTATAACCAAAAGATCTTCAAAGAATAGTAAAATCCATCTATGGACAAATTTGACTGAGGGAATTGGAAGCTTAGTTTCTTAACAATTTCTGAATATATCAACGTAGAACTAAAGAAATGTATGGTATGAATCATGGCAGTACAGAAGCACTGCCTACTGAGCTGATGATAATCGGGGACTAAGAGCCGATCAGCAGCAGTATCGATCCAGTGCTAGAAAATGAAAATAACATTAAATAAATTTAGTGCGTCCTTACCGCTTTTCTGAATTTCTTTCCACAATAACGCTAATACACGGAACTTAAAAGCCAATGATGCATAAATTCTTGAATATGTGAAGAGCTTTATGTTAACATTTAGTTTGTGAACATAGTACATATAGTGCACCATGTACAGTGGCTTAGAAAAGTTACAACTGTGTTGTTAATCAATTTTAAATGCATCAATATTCTAGTAGTTCACCTGCCATAGGAAAGCTTAATCTGATATATTACAGTTTGAAGATTAGTCCGTAGCGCATGCCTCAATGCTGGCCATGTTGATTTTAAATTTTGGCAGCCTGAGTTTAAAGCATGCTTAGAGAAAAGATTTAACTTAGAACAAACCGAAAAAAGAAAGTTAAAAACATGTTGCAATGATACAAATTTTTCTGTATTAATTTTATTGCATTGATGCGTATGAACAACAATAGTTTTTGAGAGGAGAACGTCAAGCAGCACAACCCTGAAAAATAACAACCATTTCACATTTTCAGCAATACTGGTTAGAAAAACGTCTAGATAAACTATAAAAGAAATTAACGTTGTTGTTGAACCTGTGTGTTCCATTTTTGGAAATGACATGATTTGAACAATATATACATTAAATATATTGTTCATTAATAAATGTATACAATTTGTTTATGTAAGATAGTTTAGGTTGTTCTGTTATGTCATTAGAAGTACATTTTATGTTTGACAATACATATGTTTTTTTTTTACTTTGTAATTTTTGTACATTTCCTCATATGATTATTTGAAGTAGATTGATTAAAATTCATTATTTGTTTCAATGTTACACAATACTATATATGCTGTTATTTGTTGTTTAAACGGACTATTCAAATTTGCCGAAGCTTATTCGAAGCGAAACAACATAAACCAGAAAACTTCCTATGGTAGTAGGTCTAGTCCAAATAATGGTTAAGTTATGATTTAAATAGAATTTTTATAAGATTATCAGTGTTAATACAAAAATAGCTTTGAAGAATGTAACATCACCGACTTAGAAGTATAACCACATTTGTATTTACATGAGCAACACCAAGGATGTCATATGTTTTGCAAGAACGGTTTTAACCTTCCGCAACACCTGAAATCACCTCGGTTTTTTGGTGGGGTTCGTGTTGCTCATCAGTCTTTGTTTTCAATGAAATGTGTTATAGCCTGTTGTTTGTATTTTATTCGTTTTTCGTTTTTTACCATGGCCTTTGTAGATTGTCGTCGAATTAAGAGTTTGATTATCCCATTATTATCTTCCTCCTCTATGTATAAGGCGTGTGATGCATATTCTTATCCAAGGGAATACGGTGCTCCTTAATGTTTTTCACGTCATGTCGTCAATTCTTAATCAATGAAATATGTTTAACTCATATTTTCTAAACACTAAAAGTCTAAAAAATTCTGCATCTATAACAAACCGCTTATGTATGATCCTTTTCTCATCATTCCCGAGTACAACGATATTAAAATGTGGTTTCCTGGCTATGGTTTTAATTTCACAAACTCAAAAGTAATAATATAAATGTATTATGCAGATTTCATCGATCACATCGGGGATAAACGTTTTGCATAAATCAAGTCTAAACCTCCTAATTGCACCTGTGCTAGTTCCAAATTCATCTATAATCCGGCTGGCTACGTTATTACTGTGATATAACATTGTCGATAACACTTCTCTGCGAAATGTGTTATCCAAAGGTCCGACATATCGTGAGCCTAAATCCATCAATTGGAAACACAACTTCAGAAGACTGATTGATTCAGTCGAGGATTATGCCAGGCAATGAGTTAAACGCGTGAAAGAAGACGTAGATACTCATTCCGAATGGATCGAGGCTGTGGGGTTGTTGATACAAATCAGAATTAAATAAAAACTGAATGGGTCTATGAATACCTATGCTACATCTAACTTTAAAGACCTAACTGTTGCAAAACATCTGTCCTACCTCCATGACAAATAAGTTTTGTCCGCGCAGATAAAGCCCCAAACAACATCGTTTTTATGTGTAAATCACATTACATAAACTTCTTGATAAATGAATTATGTATTGACAATTCACTTGGAAACTCAACATATACCCCCACGACACTTACATAGGAAGAAATCCTGGAGAATTATAGGTCTGTTCTATGTTCCTTTGGAATTTTAAACAAAGTTTCAAAGTTATTGTGAAAGTACCTATTCTAGAGGTGGCGTGAATAAGATGTTGATACTAAAAATTCCAAAGATCTTTTAGAGTACTTAAAATCTAAGACTTTTTTCGTCTTGCAATAGTATTAAAACGTTTGACTTTTCTACACTTTACACGATTATTCGCCATTCCAAACTAAAAGACAAATTGACAGAGTTGGTCCTGCTTGTTTCATAAAAAAAGAATGGCCTAACTACATGTAGATACAAGTTTCTTGTCTTAGGAAGGGATAAATCCTACTTAGTGAAAAAAAAAACTGATTCACACAAAAAGTTCTCTGAAACTGACATTATCAAGATGCTTGATTTCTTAATTGACAACATATTTGTTACGATTGGATGACGTGTTTTTCAACAAACAATCGACATTCCCATGGTAACAAACTGTGCTTCTTTTCTTGTCGACGTGTTCCTTTATTCATACGAGGCTGACTTCATACAGGAACTTCTTAGGAAGAAAGAAAAGAAGTTAGCAGTATCCTTTCACTTCACTTTTTGCTATATAAATGATGTTCTCTCACTAGATATTTAAAAATGTTGGTGACTATGTTGAACGCATCAATCCCATCTAACTTGAGATAAAGGATACAACAAATACAGTCTGCTTCATATATTGACCTACATCTAGAAATTGACAATGATGGTCTGTTAAAAACAAAACTTTACGACAAAAGAGATGATTTCAGCTTCCCAATTCCCATTTCTATGTAGCAACATTCCAGAAGCACCTACATACGGAATATTTATCTCCACGTTGATACGATATTCCAGGGCTTGTATTTCTTATCACGATTTCCTTGATAGAGGGAAGCTATTAAAACAAGAGTTCCAAGTGGTGAATTTGAAATCGTCCCATCGTTAATTTTACGGACGCCATCACAAGTTGATGGACCGCTATGGAATATCCGTTTTACAGATGACAACGAATATGTTCCAATTGTCGTAACTACAATCCCGTTCCCTTTTTCTTCGAATGTGACCTACCGAATTAGACCGAATTGTACTAACATGAACAACACGACGGTGGTACATGTGGAGCAGGATCTGCTTATCCTTCCGGAGCACATGAGATCAACCCCGCTGTACTTTTTTTGTCTGTTTGTCTTTCTTTTTTTAGCAATGGCGTTGTTAGTTTATTTTCGACTTATGAGTTTGAATGTCCCTTTGGTATCCTTCCCCTCTCTTTCAGCACAAGCTTCTCCTAAACAAAAAAAAAAATGTCTGTATATCCTAAGGCTAACATTTCTTTGAAATACTTTATCTAATTTTATACTTTTGCTTCATAAACAAAAACACACAGTAAATAGAACTTTATCGTTGATTTTTAAAAAAAATTTGAAATGAACAAAAGAGTGATAATTATCAAATTATTTCACTACTCACAGCAACTGTAAATGGGTGAAAATGCGGTGTATACAATTATGGTCACACATTCGTTTTTTTATTTTATTTTAACATATCTTTACTGAATACGGCAAACGAATGAATACGTGTTTTTGTGTATCATCAATGAAAAAGATCATACTTACTGTTATAACATTTTGTATCTTTCCAGTAGTAATCTTCTGTTGGGCATTGACAACGTTGCGAGGAACAAATCAGGTTACTTTTACATTCATTGGTCGATATACACGTTGCATTAATCGTCTTTTCTGAACAAATATAAATCATCATTTTTTAAAAAAAAAAGTGTTGTTAGGAAAAAACCAAAATCAACTTGTTTTACCTCCCTCTTTTAAATGTTAAATTATCATTATATACTTTTGTTTTTAGTTTTTTTTTTATTCACATTATTTTAACCTTTATATATCACATTAAGACATTTAACGTTCAATATGTGTATCAGGTTTTTTTTTGTTTTTTTTTTTTTTGCTTTGGCCTCGATTATCACTGAACAGACATTTATTGTCAAAATGCTCATCTAGTGCAATAAAGTTGGAACCATTAATGTTATTTGCTGATTATTGAATTTCATTTTTGATATTCGAAATTCTTGCAAAATTCAATTGCAGAATTTATTTTGCAATTGTACATATATCAAATGTTCGGTTAGTTTCAGTTTTGATATACCTTGTTTCACTTCTCAAACAAGGTTTTTAGACAATTCTTTGTCTTTTGTTTTGGTATTTGAAATTTGTTGGCGTATTACACTTTTTTTTTAAAATAATTTCCTGTTCAGTTTTACTGCTAATTCAATAAAGGTAGTTCGATATTCGATGTTTGCATTCACTTATTCATATTAACACTATGATGGCTATGTATGCCAATATAATATTTTTTTTCAATTTTAAGCACAAGTAATTTAACGAAAAAAAAAAAAAAAAAACGCAAGCAGGAACTACAATGATCGGAGTTATAAATTAATTTATTCTGACAACGAATTATAGTGCTATTTATCTTTGTGCGTTGGCATATGTCATTGAAATGAGTTAAATGCTGAAATACGACTTACGACTGAAGAATCATAGAACGACATAGAAAAAGTAAATAACTTCGTGTATCAACATTTTCATCAGTCAGTGCGAGTTCTCTTTCTCAAAATTATAGTACACAATCCTAATTGTAACAAATAACAATTAGTTTTACATTAGTTGACAAAGGAAACATGAAACGGAAAAAAGATCTTTTTAATTACCAAAAAAACTTTTGATGCCATCAATTTAGGCAATAGACTTCATCATAAACTAGTTATATCCACCTTATGTAAAATACCATCATAATTTGAAGATATGTCTGTTCAAATCTTTCTTTATACCGATACAACACATATTGCAATTACAATTTTTAAATACAAGCACGTGTTGCAAAACTCGCAATATTAACGAATTCAAGTGTAGACTTCCTGATTGCCCCCGTGCATTTTTTACATTCACATGCAATCGGTCAAACCATAGTATAACGTGTGACGTTTGCATTATCAACACCACTCTGAAGGGACAAAATACCCGAAAAATAAATCCACACCCTCTAAACACAATTTCAATGATTATGCCAGACATAAAACAATTGTGAAATAGAAGACACATATATAAAAATATGTGGTATAATTGCCAGTGAGTCATTTTACTACATGACGTGCATCTAGGCAACTATAGGTCACCGTACAACCTTCAACTATGAACAACGAAATTCCCGGTCTGATGTTTTTTTTTTTATTTATATCTTTTAAATAGAATTGCTGATTGCATAGAAAATAGTGTACTATGCATTAATAACGAGAAATTTTAAGTTATCCCTTAGAAAATTGTACAGACGACATTATCACCACCATGAAACATCTATGTCACAGATTATCACGAATATGTTCAACTAACCGTAGACACAACCCCTTTTCTCTATTGTGCCATCATCAAATTCGTCTTTTCAAACGAACGAGAAATTCATTTGAAAAATATAAGGTTTGATTTAAGAAAACAAAAATTAATCTACGTAAGAACAAAAGAAAAACATTTACAAATATATGCCAATATTTGAACTATGACCGCTTGTCATGTTAATCCGATTTGTAGTTTGGTCATGAATTCTCCGGCACAATGTTGTTGTTTATATAATCTAACTCCGTATAAACAAGCGATAGCAGTATATATAGATGAAAATGTAATAAAATTAAATAAATACTTATAACAGATTTTCAAACAAATATTGTAATGTCATGTTGATTAAGTTATCATTGCTTTACCAGATTAAAAAACTGTTTTGCATTTACATGACTTACACATTGATTTACAAATTGTAAACAACAAATAAATTTAGAACTCACGGTTATTGTGGACACACACCAATTCACCATTACAATCTGTCGTACCACTACAACAACTCTCACAAATCATGTGATGAGCGTTTGATGACCGACGTCCAAATATGTTTATTTGTCCATGGAGACAAAGCTATGAAACAAAACAAATTGTTTAAAACAATTTATTACATAGGAACCAAATAGATAATATTGGTGCAATTTTTATGAACTTTAAATTTTCAATATAAATAGGTGCTTATTACTTTTCTATATAACATAACAAGATTTTACTCTGCTGTAGTGTTACACCTATAACAATGCGACGGACTACCTGTGTTTGACGATTTCATATATCTTAGGAGTTGACTTGACTCAGATGCAATGGAATACAGATTTTAAAAACTTGATATTTCTGAAAATAGTAGTTCAAAACTCAAATATTTTATATGGATGACAATTATAATTTACTTTGCTTTGTGAAAATGAACCATATATGAACGACTATGTAGACCTTAAGACACTTTTCTTCTATCTCGCTTATTAACGAGAGAACGTCTTCAACTGATTGATTCAAGACCATTGTAGACCATTGGATTTCCTTCCTTGTTCTTTTTCTTCAATAGTTCAACACAAAAGTAACTTTTTAAAAATGTCAGCAGAGAAGTAATGACTTTTAACGTCAGGTTTGTAAATATTAAGATAGGCAGGTAGTGATGTGTCTTCAAAGTATCATGGCATTCAGGCAGTCTCGTTGGAGAATTTTCTATTAACAATTGTAAATCATTGCCCAGTACAGTATGCGTCATACTTTTCTAACCCAACTTACTAATCTATCTTTTTGCAGTTTTCTCCTCTGAATTTGAACATTTCACGAAATATTAAACCCCTAACCCTAAAACGCCGTCCTTTCGGCATATAACGATGTTCATATTTGTGCGCATGCAGAAGTATAATTACATCATAAATTCGAAAAAGGAGTAATGGGGGTGGGGTGGATGTGAAGTGAAGTGTTAGCAAGTTATGGTGTATTCAAAATGATATACAACAATACCCAACACATTCAAAACCATATGTATTATTTGTTCAATACTATGAACCAACGAAATATTCATAACTTCATAAAAAGCTTCATACATTATTTAATTACCTGAAGACGACAATGGTTTTTCATTTTACTTTCAGTTGTTCTCAAAGTAATCATTTAAAGATTGCGCATTTATATCGCACATTGATATGATTGTAAGGCATAATAACCTACCGCTGAATGCTTGCATCCTAAATCATATCTTTCCTGGTTCAAATTTGTTCTGTATTTGTGTAGGTAACAGATCTGAAGAGAAAAGTCGCATATTTAAGGGAGATATATTTGCAAATACTAACGTCGCGCGTTGCTTATTGTTAACGAATCCACTACTTCTTGTTATTCTCTAATACATACTAGAAGTGGAAAAAAGTATATTTCTAATCCAGAAGAGTATGTTGCAAATATGTGTATATTTTTTTTTATATAGAAAAACTCATTGTTGTCGTTAAAAACCAGTAATCGTAAAGTCATACAGAAACCATCTTTTTCTCTCAAGGAAATAATGGTAAATACAGGTACAGGACCTCCATATCAGAAGATGAAATAAATTGCATAATTTCTAAAAGAAAGTCGTTAACACGGGTGCTGCAAATGCCATAATACATTTGTAAGTCAGTAATCAATATTTGTGTTTTCAATTATTAATACATTACTTCATTGTCCAGACATTGTGTGGTTGTTTTACAACTTGGTGGATCTGCTACTCCGCTGCATGAAAGACAACTCTGAGTTGGAGCTTCAACATTAAATTAAAATGATTGCAAACTTTAAATTTTAATTAGTTGTTTTTCATCAAATTTTACCAGTAAAAATAGTTTTCGAAAATTACATTGAAATCGGAAAATCGTTGTAGACATTATTGAGATTTCTATCAGATGTATGCATTATTGTAAAAAATAATACATTCTATATATTTTCAGTTTGAGTTACTAAGTTTAATACAATATTCAACATCTAACATATTGAAAAGTATATCCAATGACGTTTTACTCAAATAGTCAACGCTCAAATTCTAAAAATTTTATTTCAATGTCCTCAACATTCAATAATCGATTTATTCGTCAAAAATTTTCAGTTTAAATATTTTATTTAAACACCCAACATTCGATTTCAGCAAATAACCATACATATAAATAAAGGCAACAGTAGTATACCGCTGTTCAAAATTCATAAATCGATTGAGAATAAACGAATCCGGGTTACAAACTATAACTGAGTGAAACACATCAAATATAAGAGGAGAACACAGACACAACAGAAACACTAAAATGCAACACACACAGAAACGAACTATAAGATAACAATAGCCATTTTCCTGACTTGGTACAGGACATATTAAGAAAAACTGGTGGGTTGAACCTGGTTTTGTGGCTACCTAAACCTCCCGCTTTAATGGCAATGTTAAATATAACACTAAAATGACAACATTACATGACAGGACTACAATAAAAAATAAATGGAAGAACATACAGGACAGAGAAACACACAAATAAACAATACAATAGAACATTACGACACGCTAATAGTTATCAAAGGTGCCAGGCCTAAAGATGAAGAGCATTGATGACCCAAAATTCCAAAAAGTTGTGCCAAATACGGCTAGGTTATCTGCCTGGGATAAGAAAATATAATATTAATTAGGTTTTTTTTTTATTTCAACATTAAACAAACGAGGTTTTGAATTTGTAGTAAGTAACGCATCGTTGCGTTTCTTATCATGATTTTGTTGATTGCGAATAAGCCGATGCATCAACGGTTTCTAATCGTTAATTTGAATGCAACACTTTAAAAGTTATACGGATGCCCATAACTGTTATTGCATATCTGTGTCACATACGTTTGCGGGAATGTTCCTCGTCCTTTTTACCTCAGTTATAAAATTACTGAATGCAAGTTATCATCTGTGAGAGATATATTACATACGGTTGTTAGATCCTGTGTGACGTCAAACGCGCGATTCTACGCCAGTACTTAAAACCTTCCATCCTTTATGGGTGGATTTTACATAGATAAATAAAATCGTATAATAAAAAAGCAAAATGAGGATGTTAAATTTGATGTATGCCTTTTTGTGCTTCTTTGTTACATTTGTTTGTTTTTATAGTGATTAAGATGATAACACAATGTTGACTGCTGTACCCCTATTTTGACATTTTTACCTATTGTGTCTGTTTGTTTTGTTCACGCATCGTTGTCAATATAATGGAATTTGATGCGACTGTCATACAACTGAGAGGTTTAGCTAGCTATAAAACCAAGTTCACTCCACCATTTTTTATATAAGAAAATGCCTGTATCAAGTCAAAAACATTTAAAGTAATTTTGAAAATGAAAACACAACAAAATGTATATTTCTCTCAATATATTTTGTAGTCTGAATTTCACTATTTTCAAGAATAATAACTTATTCTATACATTCAAGACAAATTCTCTTAACTATATAAAGAGCATAACACTCATACCACATCTTCCTATATCTATATAACAGGTTTTGAATTTTCAAAATACCATTTACCTGATACTTGCTTACAAACCATTTTTTGTATATCTAAATATCTACTGACATATTATTCGGCAACACTTTTCTTAAATATTTGAAAGTGTTTAATTCTTTAGCCCTTATTTTTGTACTCTTCTAACATGACACTCTCTGTAGTTCAGATGTGTATGAACAAACAAGAATTTGAAGACAAATTCAGGAGACAGTCGTTTAAATAACGATGTAAACACAGCCAGATACAGATTTTCATTAGAATTCTGAAGCTTTCAATATTATGTATACATGATCTATCTAATATTAATCCATGGTAAAATATCTAGTATATTTACTAGCTAAAAACTGTCACTGCAAGTTCTACAAGTATTATCTCTTTGCATGACATTTGCAATTCAGTCTGTCTTCAATATTGTAAGAACAGAAAAATTTATTCAAAAGCTCAAGTAAGCAACGAAAGCTTCAAATAGTGTTAATATTCATAACTTTAACATAACTTAACAATCAAAAACTCCTCTCTGAGTCATATTAAAAGTCATAAATAGGTGATTACTGTCACACTAAGGTCACCTGTTAAGTAAAGGTTGACTTATTTAAAACTACATGTAGATGTCAAAGATGAACAGCCTCTACTGTAGTTCTTATTCAGGACACTTAATAAAGTGACTATATTTACAAATTTCTTCTTATTCATTTGTATCTAGAATATACCAACTACAATATAGTATTTGATGCCTGGTTCAGTAAATTTACATTCCATGTTTGTTTATGACAATGAATATATGTAGTATGTGAATAATATTAATATATCAAACAGTATTGATAATAAATTGAATCTTAAAGTACAACACTTCATACAGACTAGGTCTACGTATACATACTGCATCTAATGTACCATTCTGAAGTAAATCATCTCAAAAGTATCATCGTTATGATATTTCATTAAGTATAAACAAATTATACAAAAAACAGTGTAGCTATTTAATATCTTATGTTATAAAAATTAATATAGATCAATATATCCAGAATTAAAACTTGATCCAGCGTGTTTTAAAAATCCTAAGATTTAAGTAATACTGTTCTGTGAACACTCATCTGATAATCTGATAATTTTCTTAAAAAGAACTGGAGAAGGGTTACAAAGTTTATACTTCATTGTAAACTGTAACATTTGAAAATGACCTTCACCCATCCTGATATCCATACACATGTTGGATATTGAAGGAATATAACTATTACTGTATATTAACCTATATTAGTCAAGACTTGAACTGCTCCTTTGTACAATATGCTTATGATACATCTTACACGTACTATTTTTTCTATATATATATACATCTAATGTTATATATGGCTATGTTATATTTAGAGCAATATAACTACATGTTATTAAGAAAAGTAATTTCTATCTGATCTGAAAAGAAAATTCAGTGTACATATACAAAATATTAGTTTGTAATTTGCTTTGCAAATTCTAATGCTTTATAGAATACTTTGCATTTCTCGATGGAGCATAAAAATATATAAATGATATATAATATATATATATATATCATACCATGAATATGTCAATTCTTATAAACTGATGATACAAAAGCATCAATATAGCAATTCTATTTCAAGTTCATGGAGTCTAGAAAGTTCACCATTTTCAATTTTCATTTCCATCAAGGATTTCAATAATACAGATGCATAGATGCAATATTATTATTTGATTATCATTATAGAAACTTTATAGATTCTACATAAATTCATGTAATACTACTTTCTTCAGTATTTGCTATCTGACACGAAAAATGTGTAGGAGATTAGTCCCCTAAACATTATATACAATTGTTTACAGAGATATGACTTAGCCTATAACAAGGCAACACTTAGTCACATAAAGATTAGTGCTGCACATATCTAATGTACATTATAGTATTCCTTTTATAAAAAGGAAAATATGTCAGATATTTCATGTCAAACATCAAAGCAAAATTTGCATGTTGAGAGAAAAATCTTCCTGTTTTGTATAGTTCTTTATCATTCATTGCTGCTGCCATTTGCAATTTAATAAATATATATTATAGCTTATCATATCTAGTATCATTACTGAGATTGTAAAGCACAATTTGTCTTATCAAAATAAGCACATTTATACAATATTTTCTGCAAGTCAAAATAGGACTTTTGGGAAGAATCTTCCTTCCTTGGCAGAATCTAAATAATTTTAATAGTTGTATCTCAAACTATATTTTACAGTAAAAAGTTGTTTACTATTACTGATACCTTGTAGACAACAAGATCAAGATCTACAATTGTGTTCTGATTAATGAGAACAATAACTATGAACTATTTCTTCAGAAAAGAGTAACTGTTTACCTATTCTAAGGCTTTGTTTGTTATATTCATAACAATGCCAAGATATAAGACTGAAACAGTCTATTGTCTTATTTCAACTATATGAGGATATCTTTTATAAAGATATGGTAATAAATGTACATGAATGTATCATTTTACAAGTGTCAAATAATTTTATTCATAATATGAAAACTACATTGATGAATTTCAAGGCAATGATAAAACCATCAAATGGAAATTATTTTTATTTCCTTCCACACTATGCATACATATATGGATGTTTTTAACAACCTTGACTGACTATACAGCCCTTGCATGGTCGGTAACACTATGCATGTTATGTCAACATCATAAAAATTATCCTTGAAAAAAGGAATTTACATCTGACCAATGCAGGTCAATCATATAATTTTCAGAAGATCCTATGATCTTTCTTTTTTAATATTTGATATCAACTATTATGTTTTGATATGTTGGCATCACACTTCTCACAATTTGTAACATTATTATCATATTGTACTTATTCTTTTTCAAAAGCAAAGAACTCATGTTAACAATGAGCAATGCTCCTCTGCTTTAATTTTTGCCAAGATAAAATCTTAAATCATAGTAAAAGACATGAGATTAACTTCATGTACAGAATTATTCAACAAAAGTTTGCATTTTTAAACACTGCATTGTTGCAGATTTTTCAAACAATAATAATTGTTTTACTATTATTTTCTACAGTATGTTTCTACCTAATCAATTGTTTGTTATTGGCATGTTAAATGCTCTACAAGGAACTATTCCTTAAATGCTAATGTTCCCCCTTCGACCTATTTCTGGTCATGTTTGCCGTGATATTCCACTGGCCTCTCAATATTCAGATATTTTAAATATCAGTCACATAATATTATTTCTGTAAATGTTTCAACTGTAACACAGTTTTATTATCTCACTAAGAACTTATTTTGAAGCCTTAAATGGCTTTGTATATTACAGATATACATATTGTGTACATATTCTCGATAGTTTCAACAATATTGTAAGTTCATTCTGAACTGTTGTCACATTTATGACACACCAAGGACTTATAAAAGTCTCTAAGCTCATTAATTGCTTTGGACAAATAAGCTTTTAAAAATTAGCTATTTGAACATTATTTGATATAATATATCTTTAGCAAAGGTTTACAGATACCTTAGATTGGAAGTGGCACATAATGCCTTCCGTATTATCACTAACTTTGTCTATTTATAGTAACACACATACAGGTGTACATATCGACAAGTAGTCTAGCATAATATTCCAATGCACTACATTACAGTTTCTTATATTGGAATAAGAAATGTTTTTTAATCACAACATTTTGTGATAATAAAATCTCAAGTATATTTGCTATATTTTCTATAAATTGTACGTCACTACGTGGGTACATTATAGCAAGAATGTACGAGTACACCTTCGTACATTTTGCACTTACCTTGAAAATAAAGAAAGACAATCTACTCATATACTTCTGTATAGAGATTCATTCGTGTTAAAATAACTACGATAATGTATCAATTTATTTAGACGAAAAAATGTCAAAAATTATTAAAAAATGAACGTTCGGTCCACCATTGATTACGTGATAAGCACCTGTGTGTTACACACCACAGTACACGTGTATTTTTAGAACAAGGATTAGAAAAAAGAACAACGATAAAATACATTGTATTTAACGAACTTGGATAATAAGTTCTCAAGATAACTAATGTTTATAAAACATTTTTTACTGGAACAACGTTCTCAGTTTTACAAAATCTTAAAATTCTGGACGTCGTCACAGATAATAACGAGTTAGACACCTCGCTGCTCGAAAAATAATATGATTGGCACAGGTAATAGCCGCAGTATTTATAGCTAGGTATAGCTACGTCATACCCATAGGTCAAGGATTTTGACCTCTTTTAAATGAGATGCCTCGTTGTACATCGGGAAATGAATGCTATAGTAACATCCTCGAAGAGCCGAGGAGCGTAATTAGTAGAATTATATATATACACTAGTATAAGGATGTGTGTTCATTACCTACAGTAAGACTGTTACACATTGTGTTTCTATTACAAAGTAAGGTTTCGTTACAACAACTCTGGCAAATAATATGACTGTGCTGACTGTTCCGCTTTCCAAAAATTATCCCGGTTGCATGTCGTTTGGTGCAAAGCTGAAACGAATTATCAACATAATATTAACATATTTGTTGTTTAACATATCAACATTCAGAAAACAAAGACATTTAAATGTACAGCATTGATCTCATAACTTGTTTATATAGACGAGCTGAGGAATAAAGCCCCATTAAAGAGATACTTCGCAAAAAAATGAAAAATTGATATTATGTTGATTATGTATAAAAAAGCACAAATTCATAAATATTAAAGTTTAATTCTGCTAGATAAGAAATCACCATCGATTTTAAATTTAGAGTATCACTTCTCCGCCTGCGGCCATTTTGACATCATCCCCGAATAGAAACCACGATATATCTATAAACCACAAAGGACCAAAAAAAGTAGTAACCTAACGTAGCCGTTATTGAGTGTCGATATATTGTCAAGCGTACGGTTGTTTTACCCGCCAAGGAAAGCATAAACAGAAAAAAAGATTATAATAGACATGGTTGTGCATGCAACCTTTCCTAACTAACTTGATACGGAAAATTTAATTATATATAATTTTTTTTTAATAACTAGTACTATGGTCTGTCGTTTTGAAATTGTTTTTTTTACTAAGTTTTTTAAACAAGAAATTTAAATGGAAATTAGTTAAAAAGTTCAAAGTGATAAATAAGTGTTCAGTGTAAAATTGTTTTCGAAAATCTAGTGTGTTCATAATTCTTTTATGTAATAATCATATTTAATTAAATTCGGACCTTCCCTTATCTGATCACCAGCATGGCTAAAGGCAGTGTTCCCAGAGGTATTGTAATTTGACACGTCCAGGTATTCAAGCGATTTCCTGTCGGGCTTTAAAACTCTGATTACACATTTGCATAAAGCAAGTTCGTGCATCACTTCACCTCTGAGGGTATTGAGAAGTGTACACGGCCGATAACTTGAAACTTTCCATTTTGAAACTATCAGGTGAATATACATCTTTTTCTTGTGTGTCCGATAGTGATATACTAGTCTTTACTAAACCATAGATATAATAGCAATTATATATATGACTAAACTCTGACTGTCTCATACGCTGGTTTATAAATAACATTTATGGTGTAAAGAATATTTATGAAAATCTAAATAATTACAAAAAAAGATTTGATAAAATAAAAATATATTTACATATTTTCCAAACGTAAATTGGGGAAAATATAAGTCATTACTCGTTGTCAATAATTATGGACATTTTGAAACATACAAATATTGATTTAAAAAAATGTACGCACTTGTCGATCATTGGATTATACATCTAGATAGAAGGTTACGGAACTATAGATAGTCGCAATTTAGAATATATACATGTATATTGAATATACGAGAGAAACATCCAAAACCAATCTGATTTAAATACAGGTCGATATCTAACTTGCTTTGGTTCATCGAAGTTATGCACATAGTAAAATCACAGATTTTTATTTCAATTAGATTATTTTGAACAGTTTAAGAAAGTCATCATCATTTCAATGGTTGTGTATTATGTATTATAATGTGAACATGGTTCTAATACCGGTAGTACTTCATGTCAATTTTCCTGTTCCGACATGCATGTAATATATATGCCACTTGACGTACACTAATGATCCCCAAAAAGCTTATTTGAAATATTAAATGAGAGTAATATAAGAGAAAATATAAATACGAAAAGTCGCATATCTGGTAAAAAAGTCTCACTGGCAACTACAGAATTTCACGTACAATTGTCATTCTTAATCGAAATAACGCACAGTCATTAAAATACATGCATGTACACTTTGATAAAAGGTGGTGCTGCAGTTGCATATTATTCATCATAAATCTATTTCAAGTATATACTTTCCTGTCATTCTTATAAGTTAACGCAGAGACATGTAACTATACATCTCTAGTTAACGACAATCAACCATATAAATATTTGAATCTGATGTGACTTACCGTTCATCTCTTTCTTTTTTCTTCTTTTTTTTTTTGATTTGGGCAGGTACACAAACATTGTAATGTTAGATATACTGTTCCCAGATTGGGAGGGGGCGGTGGTTGGAGCCAGGAGGTGAAGTATATCGAAAGTTACAAAATAAGAACGTTGTATTTATGAATTTACATGAAAAATTCTGATCTTGGGCGTAGGTTGCTTTTTTTTTTAAGTTCACTGATTTAAATTGAGAGAAAAAAATCTTGTCAGAATTTAAATCGTACCGGCAATTTCCACCTAAGGCTCCTCTAAAATCATGAATGGTCATGCTTCACAATCATCAGAATTTTCTTTGCATTGGTACATTCTGTATCGGTAGTGATTTACCTTGACATTTCCGGGTATAACAGAGCTACTTGTATATTACCTGTATGTGGTTAGGTGACGTCCCATGAGGTCTTACGTATACAGGTTCACATTTATAATGGTTTCTGATATAACAAGGTTTTATGACATTCACACTTCTGCATGTTCTGTATACCAAATTCTTATCTTATTTTCAGACCAAACGAGGATGTGAATATTTTCCAGGAAAAATACTGAGTATCAAAGTATCAAATTAATTTCGGGATTTTTTTCATTCTTGGTATTAAATCACAGAAACTTAAAGAATATACATCTTGTCCGCTTTAGGTGTATTCTTGTCAGTTAAGACTGACATATATGTCTCTGGTATATAGTGGGTTTATGAATGAATGATAAGTCTTGCAAAGGTACAAGATATAAAGCACATTGAAAATTGATTCCGCCGGTCTGTCTCCATTCAAAAAAGGAAAGTTGACGTTAGATTGATTCTGTTATTTTTTTAAACATCGTTGGTCAAATAGCTATGTATACGTTGTGAGATTGTAAATATTTTGATAAGGGCATTCCCGATTAGGTAAATGTAGATCGCTGTGGACGGACCAAGCTATATTAATCATGTAACCGTGATAATTTTCTCTAAACATTGAAATATTCAAGGTTAATACCGATGATAATTTGAAAAAGTAAGTACAGTGTTTGGTTTATACGCTCGTTTTCGTGGGCCATTTTTATTTATAAAATTATTTAATTGAAAGTAATTCAGAATTTTGATGTTACAACAAAATACTCACCTATCTTTTTTAAAATTAAGCTTACGCAAAATATAAAAGATATACATGTATATAACGGCGATTCAGGTATTTTGCCACCATATTCCTCCCCAAATAATTAATGTTTTTATCATTCATACGAAATGTTGTTCACACCTGTAACGGTGAACCGTGTTGGCTAAAATTCACTAAGTGAAGATCAAAAGAATAGAATTACAGAATGCTAATCTTTTAATTACCTTGAATTTAACCACGCATTCAACAGGTAGTCACTAAGTGTCACAGTACAATACACATTGTATTTAAACATTACTAGTGGGAAATGTTTGCTAGACTGAAGTAAAATCCTTCAGGCGAGAATACAAACATGCATTTGTACTTTCAAACAATATCAGTTATATATGTTTGTTCAAAATATCCGTCGGGGAAAAAAATCATAAAAATATATTCTATTGTATGATTTACTTTTATTACTATAATCATATCAGAAATCCTTTAAATATAAATCGTACATCTTAATTTTGAAAGTTGCACGGCTGATCACTTTACTTTCTTAATTATTAGTTGGTTAATAGCTACGCCAAAAGTCGTCTTTGCGCTTTAAATTGCGTTATTAGATGATTAACAAACAAGATTTACAATGAGATTTATTCACTCCCGGTATGCAAAAAAGACTTAAACTACGTCACATAAGTCAGGAAGTTGGAATAAATTAAATTATTAATTCCCAGTTTACTTCTTTATTAGTGTTCATATCCAGATAAAACTTGATAAATATGTTTTTTATGGTATTATGAACATAATAAGATGAAAAGTAAAAAATCGCGAATTTTCCCTTTAACAATTAGAGAGGATGGTACCAATTTTATTTTTGCTATTAATATGTGCATTTTTTTAAGTCATTTGTTGATACGGAAATTGCAAATACATTGTGTATTACACTTGCTTATGTGAATATATATTTTTTTTTCTCAGGGTTTCATTTTCTACCAAAAAAATTCCCTGAATAGAATTTGCTCACTTCTGATTAATATTAATAAATACTTTAAATCATTAATACCAATTATTTCTTTCATATCATGTTTATCAAGTTGATAAAAAGTTATTGTTATTTAATGAAATATATGATAGTATATCACAATTTCATAGAGCAGATTTCGAATAATAAAACATATTCACCTATGAAAGAGTATATTTGATGCTCAAAAGTATGCAAGTAGTTCATTTTTAGAAATCGTGGATGTGAAATTTTCATATTCACATCGTCCAATCAAAACAAGTCATTGTTGATCGTCCTTCTCGTTAAAGAATAACTAAATAAATTATGATTCGATAATTGTGTTTTGTTATTTTCTTTTGACATTCACTGAGCTCAACAAATTTATATCACGAAAGACAATAATTGCACTACATTGTACGTCCCGCCTTCATCAAGATGTATGGGATATTAGAAGTATTTGGACCATTGCTCGATCTAATTATTTTGCATATTAATTTTAGATGAAGGCCATAATTGAGTAGTATTATTTTTATTATAACTATAAAACTACTGTGGGATATTTATTTTTGTTTTTCTAAAACAAATAATGAACTTGTTAAAATGGTAAATGTATTGAGACACATGTTATTATTCCGTAAAGATCAATTAGAGTTCAACTCAATCAATGATATTTTTTTTAAATCGGCATATTTTGTTTTGACATATTCTTTTTATTTTTTTTTTACCTATGACGTCGTTTTATTTAATCTGTTTTTGAGTGTGCTGATTACTTTTTTTTAACAATGGTATCATGATTTATTTATCAATCGTCTTGAATATGGATAAATAATTTCTACTTGACGTTTTACAAGCAACAAGTATTCAATTAATTATTTATTACTTAAAATTGGGCTTTGAAATATCGTTCTGTGACTACAAGTTATCTATGATCAGTACCTTTCTATTTTGTTCTATTTGAAGTTGTTTTTGTGCTT